CCTAGTGCTTCCTGAGGACTCCAAGCACTGCAGCAGACACCACAACCACCGAACCGGAGAAGCATATGAATCCTCTCAAGCATATGAATGCTGTAGACAGTTGAATAGGAACCTTACGAATAGGTTTACTCTCCTAGCAGTCAAACTGGAACAGCATACAATAAATCCTTCCCCCAATAATGAGACGACACTTCACTTTGAGGGTTAAAACAGGAACTCCCTGCACTGTCACATACAGTCTCTTTTATTCCCAATCCACAAACATAGTACAGCCCACAGGGCGTTACAAAATAACCAATCAATCCGTACAATACACCCAGACACTCCCACACAAAATCCTCCCCTCTGCCTGTGATATGATTACTGAACACAATGGGTAATCTCATTATCACCGGCAGAGGAATACAGTTTTTACACAATATTTATAACTTCTAAAATATACATGTCACAAACATAAAACATACATTTTCATAATCAATCATTCAGGGGAACAACATATTAAAAAATGGCACGAATCAGACCAGGGGTTCAAAAGTTAAGGGAAAGTCCTTTGTGACTAAATGAAGCATGGCTTTCTGGCCCAAACCAGTTTCAGAGTCTTCTATCCTGGAGAGTAATTCAATTATCTCCCAGGACAGACACAAGACTCCATTAAGCACATGGTTGCAAAAAGACACAAAACACTTTAGAATACATAAAGTCACATTTACACATAACACACAGACATTTCACATATCCCCAGATAGCTGGGATCTGAGTGCACATTATTAGATGAATGGCACTCAGATCACACAAATAAGCCTTTCTGCAGGGGAAATAAACAGTTTAACCTGCAGGGCCATAGTCCAAAGGGAGCAGGCGAGCAACCAGGCTTCTCCAGTTCACAGTGGCGAGGTTGGTTTCGCCACAATAATAATATGTAACATGCGTGACAATAATCAATGAATATCCAGTATAAAATGATATGCAATACAAAGGAATGGCTATACACGTTTCAATGGCTAAACAGCATTTTCTGTCAAGTCTTACACGATTTATGAGGTATCTTTCACAGAGAGAAAGCTTTTCACAGCGAAGGGCCATAAAACCCTGGCTAACAGTTAGAATAACCCTTTCAATGCTGGCTAGATCTCCTAACTAATTAGGATCTATTCTTATGTAATTTTAATTAAAATAACATTTAAACCAGTTCATTAGACATTTCCTGGAACCATCCAATAAGAGAATCTACCATGTTATATAAGCAGATTTTAATTTGTCTAAAAGATATCTATCTTATATTAGAGCAAATCAATACACCTGGATAAAAACAGCGGTATGCTACCACGTGATAATATCACATCAATATATAATTATTCTTAATTCCACCTGCAGAATGGAATGTTTATAACTATATATTCTTTAGTTAACTAAGATTTCTTAATATGGAAATCTGACCGTGCTTTATCCAGTCATATATCCTGCTATTAATACATTTTAATTAATTAAATGAAACCAGTATAATTACCAGTTGAGTAGATATTTCATCCGATTGGTAGATAGTCTCAGGAACTTATTTGGATGTCTGTAGGTGCATGAGTTATGGTGAAAGGTGGTGTTGGTTAGAAAGTCAATAAAACTCTAAGTGTTAGAGTTTTAAGAGTAGAGTGTTAGTCTCAGATGTTGTGAGTTGGAGTCCCCAAACTTCCAATTCCTCTCTCCTCTTTTTCTTTCTCCTTTGCATACCCTCTATCTTCCCTTTGTCCTAACTTTTAAAGGGCCAGACTCTCTGTACGTCATCAGTTGATAACCCAATAGAAGCACTAGAGGTGTGGTTATCTTCCAGATCGCAATTTAGTTATTTGGTCTATAGAGGGCAGTCTTGTCCCACTAAACATACCTATCCAAGAACTTTTCTTGGTGGCTATTTTGACGTCATTTTGGCCTATTTTTATAGTGCCATAACTTACATTTTTGCTGTCAGATCAAACAGTTTCTTTAAGTTTTGTCCAGACTTAGTGTCCGCAATTCCTGCTATAATTTCTAAAATGGCAGATCATGAACTAAGTTTAACCTTAAACTTACAATGGTACCTTATACATATATAGAAAGTAAAATTAAATTATTTAATCTTCTCTGTCACAAATGTCTGGGTTTAGAATTGATTATATTCCATTAGCATTTTAGACAGTCTATCCAACCCCCGTTCTCCTTATCACTTGGTTTGTTTATACTATGCATTCCTTTAGCTCTGGGGAAACTGGTTAGTTTTACAGATAGAAATCTTGTGTCTTTTTGTTAACTTGAGAATAACAAAATGGAGTCTGATCTGTTCAGAGTGACTCGGAATATACACTTTTAATTTCTATCATAGCACAAGATGTCTGCCGATATAAATACCCTGACAATACGTGGCAATTGGTGTAGATCTGTGCACCACTTCTTTGTAGAAATAATTTGAATGGTTGAGATGGTCACTAATGACGATGAGCTTAACCAGGAGAAGAGCAGCGGCCATGTCAAGACCATCATGGAATTAAAGATAACCAAAACCTCAAAATCCAAGTGGGCATTTTTGGTTTATAATAGGTGAAGGTCTAACTTGTCATAGTTAGGTGATGGAGGCGTTGCTTGGGTTAACCTGGCTTCTGGGCCCAAGGCAGGGTCGCACATGAGGGCAGATAGACTGGCTACATAGATATATACACCGGTACCCACACATACTAAACCAGACACAAATTCATAGGCACAGACACCGGCATATATAGATAGGGATACTGCTTTTAGAATAGAGGTGCAAATATTTTGCTTTTTCATCCCAAGATTCTTGCTTTTTAATCTACTTCTGCTCCCTTTTTTTTAATTGCCCTTTATTGTCCACACTCATGTAGTAATACAAGCTTATCTAGTATAGCTTAAATTTCTTTGAACTCCAAGTATTATTTATTCTTGTACTGTAACCATTTCTTCTTCTGGCTGTGAGACATCTCCCTTGGCCGTGACTCACACGTCCTGCATGAAAAGAAAATGGTTAAATTTTTCAATCAGATGCCAACTTACTTGAAGGAATATTATAGTCACCAGAACTACAGCTTAATGTTGTTGTTGTTGTTGTTTTGGTGAGTATAGTCCACAACTACAGGCTTTTTGCGGTAAACCCTGTTTTTTTCAGAGAAAAGGCAGTGTTTACCATACAGCCCAGCTAGGGACACCTCCACTGGCCACTCCTTTAGATGGCTGCTAGAGGTGCTTCCTGGGGGCAGTGCTGCAAAGTGTGCAGCACTGACATTCAGGTATGATTTTAGTAAACTAAAGCTGTTTTGGTGCCTTTTTAATGTCCATTAAAGCCATATTGTGAGTATGTTTTCTTCCAATGTCCTCTGCTCTTCAAAGGTTTTCTGTATTAGTTAATGCTGTCTGGCTGACATAGCTGCAATGGCATACTGGTAACTTCATCATCTTCATTTACCTAGTTCTACCATGCTCACCAGCGCTAAATTTTCATTCACTAATGGCAAATGAAAGCTTTGAGCCCTTTTGTGTAACTTTCTCTTTCTAGAATTGCGCTTCCCCCAACCCATATACCAGAATACATAATACACAAAGACAAGTTGGACGTTTTTGGCCCCGTCTTTATTTAATTTCATTTGTTACAGGTAATACCATTGGTGAAGGATCTTGTAGAACAGAGTGAGTGCATGTGTTCATCTGCTGAGATCTTGAGGATGGAAAGACTTATACTGGATAAACTGCAGTGGGATCTGTACATGGCTACACCAGTGGACTTCCTTAACATTGTAAGAATATGCAACTCATAGGAGCAGTTTATTAAATACAACAGGAACACATATGCACATGTCTGCTAATGCCAAATAAGGTCTATGTTTTTGAAACTATTTACCAGTCACCAAATTAGTCTGATGGTAAAAGAAAAGTGACTTTATTTTTCTTTGCTACCAATATTTTTTTTTTATTATTATTTTTTTCATTTTATCTTTCTCTTTTAATAAAAAAAATCTAGATTTTTTTTTTTTTTTTCTTCTTTAAATTTCTACACGATGATATCTTTGTAACATTGCAAAAATATTTCTCTAATACTGTACATAGAAAGCTGTCTGGTGGGTGTGTTTTTTTTATATATATATTTTTTTTTTCCACCAGGCACCATGAGAGCTTCCAGTTCATCCACACTGGCTGCTCTTTAAACATTCTGTTCATCTGGCACTTAAAATATTATATGTCTCTTGTATAAAAGGCCAATAGCTCTCTGTGATCGTTTTATGTTGGTGGAAGGAGCTGGACTCATTTAAGCAGAGAAAGGGCTATGTGCATGTTAAGGCAAAACTGCATGGCACAGGGAATTAAACGTCTGTACCAAACCATGCGCTGACTGAACATTTTTAACCCTGTTTAATACCCAAGAGGCTAGCAGCGCATGATTTTGCCTTGGCAAGGCTTTCGCTTTGTTCATTCTAGCACATCTAGAATAATTTACGACTTAAACCTCTGGTGTGATTTTACTCTTTTGGAAAATGAACCAAAGGTTAGACCACTGGAAATGATCAATTTTTAGATTTCAAGATTTGCTGGTATTGTCCCTGTATTTTAAAACAAAGTATTGCGGAAAAGTGTGGAAACGGAGTTTAAGTTTTGTTTGTCACAATGACTTCATAGATTCTAGACTCTTTTTGCAAAAAGACATTGCGTGTTGAGTTGCTCAGGAATGCAATTTATCACTTGACTTACAGTTTTTGCACACAATTTCGTTTAAAATTCTTTCCCAGTTTTGATTCCCTTTCATTTTTTTTTTTTTCTTTCTCATTTTTTTTTTTTTTTCTTCACTGTATAAGGAAATGTGATTTATGTAACTGCAACTAAGGAAACACAATAGACTGGCTATGTTTAAATTTGCTCTTACATTCAATAGAAGCTCAAAAGTCTAATGGTTGATAATGGATTAACACATGTAAAAAAATAAACAAATGTGTGCCTTTTAATGTAAACTTAATTTTGGTTGCCTCATTTGGTCAGGAGGATACATGAATGGTAGACAATTGACCAAAGACATTAATATATAATTATTTTTTTTGTATCAGTTTCATGCCATGGTGATGTCCCTTTGGCCTTCGTTCTTCCATGGCCATCCTCAAATGAATCCCTCTCGCCATGTTGCACTCTTGACTAGACAGGTGCAGCACTGCATGGCTTGCCACCAGTTATTGCAATTTAAAGGCTCCACATTAGCTTTGGTAATCATCAGCTTGGAGTTGGAGTTGATGACTGCTGATTGGTTCCCGATTACTTCTGAGCTGTTGAAGAAATCAAAGGTAAGCATGAAAGTGTTGCACTGCGTTGTCACATTATCATCACATCATTGCAGAAGGGCTGCAATCTCAAGGGGATAGTAGTTGTTCCTCTGCTCTATAATTTATACATAAAACACGATCAACCGTGTATAACATCGGTTAGTAGCTGCAAAGGCTGGAAACTTGCATTCTCACCTCCTTGTGGTTTAACCAAGCAAACGGCTATGTGACATGTTGGACTTAGTCAATTTGATGCCATAGTGTGCAAAACTGTATGTTAGAAAATGCAATAGGAATAAATTGTGGTATAGGGGAGGAGCACCTGACTGAGTATGAAAGGAAGCTGAAACTGGTCTAATGCAATTTATGGCTGGTGGGAGGAAGCTTCCAATATGGCAAGTTTCAGAAACCTTTTGAGTATTTTACTGTCCTAAATTGTAAGTAATCCGCTTTACAGAGAAAAGATACCAAATAATTGTCCTAATATGATCAAGCTTGGATAAGGATGTTTTTCATTTTCACCCAGAGCCAAATGGCTGTGGCAGTGAATATGTGTAAAGAAAATCTGTTTTAGGGTGATCCACTAAAATGTCTGGCCTAACATTTTTAAACCATAACCCTGTTTTGTTTGTATATTTCTGAAGTGTATTTAACTAGTTAATGCTATTAAACAAGGGTGAGCACTACTGAATTGTCAGGAATTCTATTGAATTTAAAATTTTAAAAAGTAGTTCAGTTCCCGATCTTCATCCCAAGCGCACAGAGAGCTGCACGGGGATAAAGGAGGGGAGTCTGGACCAGCGCCAGCTCACTCCCATCAGCCGCATCCAGCCCCACTGTAACATGCTGCTGCCCAATCCCACTAGACCACACGAAAGCCTCCCTCCTTTGCCCACAAGGTAGGAAACAGGAGGGTGGATAAAATTATGTATTTATTTATTTTTTCTCTGTGTATATTTGTATGTGTATTTGTCTGTGTCTATCTATGAATCTGTATGTGTATATCTATCTGACTATCAAATAATAAAAAATATTGTGTCTGTCAATGTGTAGATTTAGGTCACCAGCTCACCTCCAATCACATGGGAATGGTGGTTTTTACTTACCTTTTTCAAATGGTGTGCCAGCGTCGCTGCAGCTAGCTCGCCTCATAACTGAATTATCAATCTTGATCTCAGCCAATTTAATGCTTTTCCATAGGAATGTGTTGGGAAGCTATTGAGCATGAACGGCAAAATGCTGCTCCAATTGGCATCTTCTCCCAGAGATGCAATGAAATCAGTGTTTCTTTACAAAGGCTGTGTTTTAAATTGAAAAGCCTGCAGGAACAGGCTCTAGAAACGAGAACTGCTACATTAAGCTACAGTGCTTCTGGTGACTATAGTGTTCCTTTAAGAATTGTATTTTTGTCATTGGGAAAAAAAAATGGCTCCTAACTTTTATTTTTTTTTTATTTATTTTTTTTATTAAAGTTGGCTCCTAGATTCAAAGCAAATTTGTCAAGACCTGATATATCTATATAGATATATCATATTTTGTCTCCAAAAAAATTACTTTTTTTAGTATTTGTGTGCTTATGTTGTAAGAGTTAGGTCAGCAGAAAGACTAAAATGGCTACTCAGACAGCTCAAAATAGACTTTACTGTTATTTGATCATCTGCTGCTTAACCCCTTAAGGACTAAACTTCTGAAATAAAAGGGAATCATGACATGTCACACGTCATGTGTCCTTAAGTGGTTAACCTAATTTGCCTGGCGCTGTGATTGGGAAACTGCACTATAGGGACACTGTAGTCACCAGAACAACTACAGCTTATTGCATTTGTTCTGGTGAGTTGAATCATTCCCTTCAGGCATTTTGCAGTAAATACTGTTTTTTTCAGAGAAAATGCAGTGTTTACATTACAGCTTAGTGATGACTCCACTGGCCACTCTTCAGATGGCTGCTAGAGGTGCTTCCTGGGGCACTGTCATTCAGTGTCTCCACCCTCTGCACGGAGACGCTGAACTTTCCTCATAGAGTTTAATTGATTCAATTTATCTCTATGAGGAAATGCTGATTGGCCAGGGCTGTGTTTGACTTGTGCTGGCTCTGCCCCTGGTCTGCATTCTTGACAGTCTCAGCCAATCTATGGGGAAGCATTGTGATTGGCTCAGACCACCACTTCTGATGATGTCTGCAGATTTGAAAACAAGATTTTACTATATTTAGTAAGGCAAGGGGGATTTGGGGGGCTAGATGGTGGTTTTAACACAATAGGGTCAGGAATACATGTTTGTTCATGACCCTATAGTGTTCCTTTAAGTAGTCTCTGGTCAGATGAGTGAAGAAAAGTATATGGATTGAGGAAAATATGACCTTTAGAAACAAAGATTCTAAACTTTTAGAAAAAGGTAAGACTGTTTATGAATACCTGTCTTGATTTGAGGCAATCCTGTAATGATTACATATGGCTAACTAACTAAACCTCTTTAACCCCTTAAGGACACATGACATGTTTGACATGTCATGATTCCCTTTTATTCCAGAAGTTTAGTCCTTAAGGGGTTAAGGAATTTTAACTGACCTAATTTAGCAATTTTGATTTTCTCTTTTCAGATTGAAAATGCAGATTTTATCAACTGTAAGGAAATGATTGACCGTCACCTTGAAAGGCTAATGCCATCCAACTCCGTGTATGTTTTTATTTCTACTAGCAAAGCTGTTCGGTCAAAGAAAAGGGCTAATATATCTTCTCCTGAAGGGTGCAATGCACAGGCTGTGACTGTCGTTAGACAAAAAATGAGCAAGCCTTTTCAAGATCCTCTCACCAGTGCTTCAGAGTCAGCTCATCAGGATATAATGGAGACAGAGTTTTATGATGGATTCAAGTATCTGTACAGTGAAGAAGGCACAGAGGAGGCAGCTATCAATGCCTCATCGTATAGTACCCTTCATTAAATTAGGAGGTACCAGGTCTGTGCCAAAAGGAAAAAAGGGAACCGAATAAGGATCCAAAAGCAATACAGGAAAATAAACTATTGCTTGTACTGAAAGATTACGGCTAATGGACTTGCCAAATTTCTGGTCTTTCTGCTGCCAAAGATAATCTAATAAGAGATTATTTGGGGGAAGGAGGTAATGTTCTTGTGACATGCTCATTTGGTACAGTGTTCTGTATGATACATGTGTGGAGTGTTTTTTGGGATTTTATTTTATTTTTTTTTTTTTTTTGCCCCATTCCAGGTTATTGAGGTTGTTTTCAATATATAACAAGGAGGTGGAAATGGAGAATGTCAGTCAGGTCAGGACAAAAACTAATCAAAACTAATTTTGAATTGTCCTCTTTAAATAACCCAATTGACTATTTCCCAAGATACAATTAGCTAACAAAAGCTAGTTTACTTTTTTGAAATACAGTGCTGAGCCTTATACAGATGTTTAAATATAAGATATAAATTAACACTCAGGGATTTTATATATTCTATATATAGTGTTCTTTTTAAAGGTATTGGGTAAAATGCAACCCAGATTCGCTGGAACATTCCTCTAATGTGCACGAATACTTTGGCTGCTCAGAACGGTTACTGCCCACACTGCCTTTTCGTTTGTTCTCCATCCCTCCATTAATCTTGCTTTTATTTTTAGTTCATATTATTACTGTCTTATTAAACGGTATTGTGTATAATATTAGCGAAAGAATACTCTGTAGTGTTTGGTTTAACTTCATGTATGTTAGACGCAACACTGTAGCATTCTTTTTTTGGGAGGGCGGGGGGCAAAGACATACGTCTACATCAGGCATAGGCAACTTTTGGCACTCCAGATGTTTTGGACTACACCTCCCATGATGCTTTGCCAGCATTATGGGGGATGTAGTCCATAACCTCTGGAGTGCTGAAGGTTGCCTATACCTGGTCTACATAAATACTAAAGTGTGTAAATATATGCAGGGCTCAAAATTTCAGGTCCTATGCTACAAGACAGGCCAAAAAGTAACTTGCCACTGCAAGCCTTGAATACAAGGGGAGAATTTCTACTTGCCAAGGCTAAATTTTTACTCTCCAATGGCTAGTAGGTGAGTGGACAAATTTAGCCCTGTGTACAGATGTGGCTATGTTTTTTATATATAATTACATTTCTTTTTTTTTTTTTCAGATTGTATTTCTCACTGTAAACTGTATTTATTTGCCAATTGAGCATGCACTTTTTTTGGTTTTATACTGTGTGTGTGTGTGTGTGTGTGTGTGTGTGTGTGTATATATAAATGTATTTTTCTCCTTTATACTGTAGTATTGATATAGTAATGAAAACTAGAGCACTTATCTATGTACCTGGATACATTTTTATATATATATATATATATAATGTACAATAGTAGATAGGCAAGGCACTCCTCCTCAAACTTATTCAAACGAGTTCAAGTTCGTGATCTTGATAAAGACCCCAGGAGGGTCGAAACGTCGATTGTCTGTATTCTGCACAGGACATGTATTATTTTATAATACAGTAAAGACTATTTTTTTGCCACTCAGAAGCAGTCCTAGTGTGCTCCCTTCACTTTTGGTTATATATATATATATATATATATATAAAATATATTCTCAAATTTGGTGCTCATGGACATTTAATAAAGCATATGCCATGGGATTTGTCAAGGAAATAAAATAAACTAACTCTAGTTTAAAGTTCTACAAATCCATTTTGGCTAATTTGGCCAGCATTGTTTAAGAATTCCAAGTGGAAGAATGAACGCTTTTTATATTTTTTTTTATATTCCCTTTTGTTTGAATTAATACATCATTCAGTGAAATGTGATTACGGTTGAGATATATACAAATTTCTTTCTTTTTTGTTTGTATATCCTGTACGGGTAAGAAAATGGCCCTGTGGGGGACAAATCTCATGTGTCCCTAGCCCTCATTTAATACTATTTTAAATATACTCCAGACCCCTGTCTTTGCATTATATACAAGCTCATATGCTAAACTTGGATGACCTAGGTCACTGCTCAGATGAACTTAAAGTAATATGGTGCACTAAGCTCACTAGTGGTTATGGTAGCTAATGTGCCTCTTCACCATTTAATTTAAAAACAAAAAATTCCCAGGTTTATATCACACTGCTCCTAAGCATTTGATATGAAGCCAGATGATGGTGCCAAGGCTCTCTAGGCAACATAATGTAGTGGTTATGGTAAGAACACTCCATTTTAATGTGCATGCTCAAAGCTATACATATGTTGCACAGTACAAGCTAAACATACAGCCTTATAAATGTGGAAGATTATAGCTGTACTGTTAATATATCAATCTCATAGATTGCTAGGGACACGGTCATTCTTACAGTGAATATGAGGAATTCATGTATCTAATTATATTATTCTTCCTGGTTTGAAGAGGTGTTGGTAGGACAACATTAATTGCTCCTATTAAGCCAAGTCAATTTTTACAATTATTATTTTTTTTTATATGCATATTTTATTTTTTTGGGGGTGCCTGAATTACTTTTCAGTTTTGTAATTTTGTACATATTTATTTCAGATGTAATGTTTATTTTATTGAGATTTTGTGTAAGCACTTTTTTATTTTATTTGATATATCTATTCTGAATAATTCTTATTCTTTGTAAAGTCGAACAGGCATGACCATGGTGTGTGTGTTTTTTGTTTGTTTTTGTTTTTTAAATGACTAGGAGGCAGAATCTATTGTAAAATGTTTCTTTAAACATTGCTGTGAGTTATTTTTTTCTAATAAATGCCTTAACTTGTAAAAAAAAAAATATATATATATATATTTTGTGAGTTTTGTGTTTTGATGAACAGGAGTTACAGAAATATGTTGGAGTCTAATATGATCTAAATACAAGCAAACGTTTTTAATATCTATTTAGCAACTAAAGATATAAAGGGAGCAGCTACAATACTGTAGTTACATAACTTACTGTGAATAAAAATTCTTTATGGGAATTTCATGAGAAATTATTTGAAATTCCAAAACACTCAATATAACACAAACATGGGATCATTATGTGGGATTGCCATGTGTAAGGATACCAAATTGGGTAACTAGCTAATAAACAGCTGACATTTCAAAATTAAGAAATGCCCTTAAAGGGACACTCAGGACTCCTAAAGGACTTTTGCTTTATTTTCCAATGCATTTCAGCAAGCTAAAGAGGACATACTGTTCAAAAGAAATTGTCACTTTTTAAGAATTAACCTTGTTACAACCCACTGACTCATTTAGTCGACCATTCTGTTACTTCCTATTTGTATAGTATAGGGCTATTCCAGCTAGGGAAGTAAAAATATAGCATAGTGCAACACTGTGTGTAATAATACTAGAAATAAAATGAAGTGCCAAGTGATCACTCACACTTTGACATCAAAAAAGTACCTTCAGAAATATATTGGTGTGTGTCTTCTTGCTTCAATGCTGAGTAGATGTTAATCTCATACAAAAGATAGAAAAATGCAAAAAAATAAAATAACTGATGTAAGTAATAAATGCTGCTTTTTGTACTTTATTTACTCAAAGTAAATTATAGCAGATGATGGAAAAATATGTTCAATAGTAGTCCAACGCGTTTCGTCCCTGTCAGGGACAATCTTTTACAAAATGCTGGATACAAAAAACAAAACAAAACAACTCCCTATATACATCACCCACTTAGTCCCAATAGTTATTCCACAGGTGGTTCCGTCTTCTTTCAGCTGTTGTTGGTTCAATTCAGATCACTTCCGGGTTTCGGGCACTCGACGTCGTCACGTGACATGCGCAATGACGTCATGCGTTCCACCTTCATTTTTATTAGCAATTATAGTGGCAAGCTGAGGTGTTTGCGTAAAGTCCGCAAAAAGCTGTTTCTAGGTGGAAATATGGGTGGGGTATTTACAAAATAATTAAAAGGCGTTACTAATCCATAGTAACATAAACAAGCTTTATTGACAAGAACAAAAAAAACACACACACCATCCAAGATGAAACCTAAGTGGATACATACTTATATGCATGTGTGTCCGTTTAATGACACACTGCATAGGATAATATGTACAAGCCAAGATGCTCCAACTGGACCCATTAGGGATGAAAGAAGCATAATACAAAATGCTAAAAAAAGTTAAAAGAATTTTTATGTATTAAAATAAAAATATATCTCCTTTTAATTATACTAATACCTATTAAAAATTTAAAGATTATAAATTAGGGCATACCCAATACCCCTAAGAGACTAAGTAAAAGAGATAGATATATATATATATATATATATATATATATATATATATATCTCTATTATAATGTCTCCTTTAGGGGCTGTATTTTAAAGGGAAAAAAAGAACTTTTCTCTTGGCTTGTTCACTATTATTGTAGAACAAATATAGGCAAATTTAAATATGTAATGTATAAAAGACAGAGAAAAAGAAAATAAGCAGAAAAGGAAGGAGTGATTATTGAGATTGAGTGACTATGTAGGTTTAGAAAAAATTAATAATCATTGAAGGGGTGGTAATCTTATCAAAAAACTAGTACAGCGAGAAACTTATTGGATAAATGTATTGAAAAACTTACAACCAGGAGGATTAAATGCAGATATTGATCTGTGGTGCTTTTTGGAATAATCACTCCTTTCTTTTCTGCTTCTTATTTTCTTTTTCTCTGTCTTTTATACATTACGTATATTTTATCTATGTATATAAATTTGCCTATATTTGTTCTACAATAATAGTAAACAAGCCAAGAGAAAGTTCTTTTTTTTTTCTTCTTTAAAATACAGCCCCTAAAGGAGACTTGTATATCTTTTATTTAGTCTCTTAGGGGTATTGGGTATGCTCTAATTTATAATCTTTTAATTTTTGATAGGTATTTGTATAATGTTTTTTTTCATCCCTAATGGGTCTAGTTGGAGCATCTTGGCTTGTACATACAGGGCCGGCCTTAGGCAATTAGGTGCCCTGTGCAAAAAGTCTTCACGGCGCCCCCCCCACCTCCCACCAAGTTGCCTGAATACAGTAACACACACAGGCACCAGGGACGTGTGTATCACGAGGCAAACAAGGCATCTGCCTTGGGCGCCACTTTGCAGGGGGCGGCAAAAAAAAGCATCCCTCCAAACCCCCAGGCAGATCCCTTGCTTGCCTCGCATCCTGGGGGGCTCAAGAGCTGACCGGCTGGCCACTTTTGAGCCCCCCCAAGGCTGGCAGCGGGCAGCGAAGGAGCATACTCACCTGAGCTCTTCCTGCTCAGCTTCCTCTGCGCCGCTTAATGAAGCCGGGAGCCAGAATATGACGTCAGTCCGGCTCCCGGCATCACTAAGCGCTGCTTACTCAGCCTGTGCGCCCCCTGCCTGCCTGCCCAGCAGCCACACTGGACTGCTGGTAAGAAATCCACTCCAGCTTTCCCAGGGAGGCTGGGTGGATTTAAAATAAATGTAAAAAATATTAGTTTGTGAGTGTTAGTGGAAATGTCTGTGTGTGTGTCTGTGAGTGTTTATTTTGAAGTGAGTGTGTGTGTGTGTGTGTGTGTGTGTGTCTGTAAGTGTGTAATTGTGTGTGTCTGTAAGTGAATGTGTGTGTGTCTGTGAGTGAATGTGTGTGTTGGTCAGTGAGTGTATATGTGTCAGTCAGTGAGTGTGTATGTGTCAGTCAGTGAGTGTGTGTGTGTCGTCAGTGAGTGTGTATGTGTCGTCAGTGAGTGTGCGTCTGTCAGTGAGTGAGCGTCTGTCAGTCAAAGTGCGGCCTTGACAGGAAGGGGTGGGGGAAATTTAAACTCGGTTACAGGCATGTACACACACACTCAGTTAAAGGCAGTCACACATACAGGCACAAACAATGGCACAGCTACAGCGACACACACAGACAGACAGTCACATAGGCAGTCACACACACAGACAGACACACAGTAACACACACATAGACAGTTATACACACACAGGCAGGCAGTCACACAGATAGAAAGTCACACACACAGGCAGGCAGTCACACACAGACAGATAGTTACAGACAGACACACACAGGCAGACAGGCAGTCACAGTCACACAGGCAGTCACACACACAGGCAGTCACACACACAGACAGACAGTCACACACACAGGCAGTCACACACAGAGACAGTCACACACACACAGAGACAGACAGTCACACACACACACACAAGGACAGGCAGTCACACAGACAGTCACACACACACACACACACAGTCACACGCACACAGGCAGGCAGTCACACATACAGACAGTCACACACACACACAGACAGACAGTCACACAAACAGGCAAACAGTCACACACACACACTTACCTCTTTCCAGTGGATGCAGTTGGCTGATGGGGAAGCATCTTTCCCTCTTCCTGTACAGCAGGGGCTTCGGGAGGTATTAGCCCCGTCTCCGCCTCTCGATAAGCCCCGCCTCCGCCGCTCGGTAAACCCCGCCCCCTCTTTTTTTTTTTTTTTTTTTTAAATAGACCCGGGTGGAGAACAATTAATCCTCCAGCCAGGTACCTCTTTTAGCTCCCCTGCACTCCGGCCATGAGTGAGCTGTGTCGGCCACAGGGCGCCCCCTGTTCCATGGCGCCCTGTGCGGTCGCACAGCTCGCACACCCCTAAGGCCGGCCCTGTGTACATATTATCCTATGCAGTGTGTCATTAAACGGACACACATGCATATAAGTATGTATCCACTTATGTTTCATCTTGGATGGTGGTTTTTTTTTTTGTTTTTTTTTTTTTTTTGTTCTTGTCAATAAAGCTTGTTTGTTACTATGGAGTAGTAACTCCTTTTATTATTTTGTCACTCCCTCTTGTATATACCCCACCCATATGTCCACCTAGAAACTGCTTTTTGTGGACTTTATGCAAACCTCTCCGCTTTCCACTATAATTGCTAATAAAAAAAGGTGGAACCCATGTCATTGCGCTGTCACGTGACGACGTCGAGTGCCCGAAACCCGGAAGTGATCTGAATTGAACCAACAACCGCTGAAAGAAGACGGAACCACCTGTGGAATAACTATTGGGACTAAGTGGGTGATGTATATAGGGAGTTTTTTTGTTTTGTTTTTTGTATCCAGCATTTTGTAAAAGATTGTCCCTAACCGGGACAAAACACGTTGGACTACTATTGAACATATTTTTCCATCATCTGCTATTATTTACTTTGAGTAAATAAAGTACAAAAAGCAGCATTTATTACTTACATCAGTTATTTCATTATTTTTTTGCATTTTTCTATCTTTTGTATGAGATTAACATCTACTCAGCATTGAAGCAAGAAGACACACACCAATATATTTCTGAAGGCACTTTATTTGATGTCAAAGTGTGAGTGATCACTTGGCACTTAATTTTATATCTAGTATTATTACACACGGTTATATTTTTGCTTCGCTAGCTGGAATAGCCCTATACTATACATGTGTTGATTCGGGCATATCCTATGCTATTGAGGGAAGTTGTTAATATTTATATTTTCCACTATAATCACTTTTTGGGAGAAACCGTGGTATTGCATGTGGACACCAGAAACACTTTTTGTGAGAGATACTATTTTATCAACTCCCTATTTGTGTAGTTTAGTTGAGATAACATCAGGAGTCAGGCAATTTCTCAGAGCACCTGCCTTGCAAGGCCTTTTATTAAGATGCATTGGGAAATCTGTTATTGGACAGCCACAAAATATCTGGGCTGGGGAAAAAGTGCAGGGCATAAAAATACTTTAGAACTGGTTCCAAACCCAGTCCTCAAGTACCCCCTACCAGTCCAGGATTTAGGGATTATCCTGTTGTGTCCAATTTTTTTTTTTTTCTTCTAAAAACTTTAGACCAGCAGCTCGGGCACCACAAGATTTTTTTTTTCCCCGCTGCTAATCACATAATCATAGCACCAGGAACCATGCCTCAGATCTACCTCACCGGCCAGCTGGAACTGTAATACTGGCGGGGAGGGAGGGAGAGAGGACCCGGAGGAGCTCTACATCTGGGAATAGAACTAAGCACTGGTGAAATATTGGGATGGGATGGGAAGCATCTGATCCGAATTTCAAGTGTCATAGTAAAGTGTTTGAATACTTATGTCAATGTAACATTTCAGTTTCTTTTTCATAAATTTAAAAATAAAATTTAAAATATGGTCTTTTGATATTAAGTGTAGGCTCATGAAAGGAAAAAAGTTTGTAAACTGCAGTATATGGTTTCAAAAAACCAAAAGAGTCTATATTATATACACACACATTCCACTCAACTTCAACTGTATTTTCTGGATTACACTTATTGCAATAAATATATTGAGGTCAATTTATTATTACCGAATGTTAGAAACCAACAGACCCCTATTTAGTATCAATTCAATGACTAATGGAGCCAGGTGTTGGATAATGCCATTCAGGCAACCTTGCGGAATCTTAGTGTGCACCATAGTTAGTCCCACACCAGAGTGATCCTGCATGAACTTAAAGGGAAACTCCAGTGCCAGGAAAACAATCCGTTTTCCTGGCACTGCAGGTCCCCTCTCCCTCCCAACCCCTTCAGTAACTTACCAAAGGCAGCGACGCAGCGACTGTCCCACAGCGCTGCTTCCTCCTCCACTGCATTGCGTCGGCTGGTGGGCGAGACTGATCCCACCCACTGGCCAGGGAGACCTAATGCGCATTAGCGCTCCCCTTAGGAAAGCATTGAAAATGCACTTCAATGCTTTCCTATGGGGGAAATGAGCGACACTGGAGGTCCTCACACAGCGTGATGACGTCCAGCGACGCTCTAGCACAGATAATCTGTGCTATGATCCAGGAAGTGCCCTCTAGTGGCTGTCTAGTAGACAGCCACTAGAGGTGGAGTTAACCCTGCAAGGTAATTATTGCAGTTTATAAAAAAAACTGCAATAATTACAGTTGCAGGGTTAAGCGTAGTGGGAGTTGGCACCCAGACCACTCCAATGGGCAGAAGTGGTCTGGGTGTCTGGAGTGTCCCTTTAACCCCTTAAGGACACATGACATGTGTGACATGTCATGATTCCCTTTTATTCCAGAAGTTTGGTCCTTAAGGGGTTAAAGGCCTGCTGGAGTCTAAGCTCTACACTAGCAGTCAGGTTTTGAAAGTTACTTACTACAGCCTTTTCTGGAGTACACATTTCACACTCACCAGAGCTGAATTTTCAATAGTCAATGGCTACTGAAGAAATTTTAGCCCTTGACTCCGGGATCAACAGAAGGGGGCCTAATATACTAATTTACTTTTTCTACTCCATGTTCAAGGAAGTACGAACTTCCACTTCCTATGCAAAGGGTTAAAGCATAAAACAAGTGGTCTAGGGGGTACTCTTGTCTATGAATAAAATTACCAGAGAATGCCCAGTCTCCATGTCCAAATAGCTATAAGGTGAGAGGGTGCTCTTACTCGACTACCACCACCACCCCATTCCCTAAATAACTCAAGAATGCCCAGTCCATTAGTCCAAAACATTTCGCACCAAAGCCACCAACTTACTTTGACTCCCCTTGTAAGTAAAAAGTCTACTACCCAACCATCCTCCTTTTACATGTATTTGAGACAGGGTGTGACAGTATTATTAATAAAATGTCATACTTAGTCAATTTTGCTTGAAGATCCAATATCTATGTTAAAGAAAAGTCATCCATTTTTTTTAAATAAATTTTCTGTTATTTTTACAGAAATGACTTGACTGTTTCCTCTTTCTGACAGCCACCTTTATGTAACGTTTGGTTGGATGTTCAGTTCTCACCCAGTGCTCATAATTTTGCAACCTTCCATTGCTTTTCAAAATCACGTCTCTGGTTGACACAATAATTCTGCAGGCAGCAAATGTTGAGAAGCAATGAACAGTTGCAAAATAGCATGCATTGGATCTGATAACAGAGAATTTGACAGAAGGGCAAAAAGATGGCTTTCAGAGAGGAGTAGTGGGAAAAATAGGCAAGGGATATCTTAATAAATTAACTTAAAACTAGAGATAGTATATAACCAAGATAAGATATTAAGATAATACAATGTTAGAGTTCCTTTAAGGTTTAGGACATGAAAACATCTAGCAATGGATTAAAGGGACATTCAATTACCCAAATACAAAATAAAACGGTCTAGTAGATATCTCCCAAATGAGAAATTGAAAATACATGCATTGGATTATGTATTTTTCATTAAGAGTAAATTCTAAAACAGCTTGCCAAAACTGCAGATCTCTCCTCTGCAGCCTTTGCAAGCCCTTCCCCTTTTCCCCCAGCTCAATTTCTGTTGCTGTCCATTCACAGACTTCCCAATGCAGCTCAATGAGAAGTCTATGCAAGGCAGGTGTTCTGATAAACTGGCTGACTCCTGATTTAAGCTCCACTGAACTAAACAACCAGGAAGTAAGACCGGTTGACTAAATGACAGCTAGGGTGGTGTAACCAGGTTCATTTCTAAAAGTTGTATTGAAATCTGCACTTTTTGTAAAAAAAACAAAAAAAAACAAAAAACACTTCACATTAGCTACCGAGGTCTACAGTGTCCCTTTTTTAGACAACAGACTTTTATAAACCTCTGCTGGCTTAAAAGGGAGATTAAGAGATTGTGATTTCTTAACTTGTAAATCCAACAAAGTATGTATATTTCAAGACAAGTTTTCTTCTGGTTACTTTTACTAAAATGCATGGCTTTCATTTGAGCCGATTGATTGTGATGCACAAAACAATTTCAAACTTATTCAAAGTTTATTACCATTCTACAGCCACAGGTTGATGGGGATTTCTTAGATTCTTTCAGCTTCCCTTCCCTCTCAAGACTTTAAAGCATGGTTACCTGGTTATTTTTGTAAACCAATTTATGGTTTTTGTTTTTCATAAAAGGCTCTTTATCTTTATTTACCTTCTCCATCTACCTAGAATTTCCAAGCACTGAAATGAACAATCACTATAAACCGATGTGTCTGTTGGTTCCAACATGGAAATACTTTCTACCCCCGATATGAATCCTGTGTGTGACCATCTGCTAACAACGAGATGACCTTCTTCTGAGGTCTTGAGTTCCTCTGGGATGGAGCAGATTGTTTTAATGGGTTTTACTCTGGGTTTTTTTTTTGTAGCATATTTTAGGTACTGTACATATTTAACAGGCAAAAATCTGTGTATAAATAACAGCAATGTGCATGTCCTATTACGGTTTGTAGCCATGTGCATTCTATATTTATATACTGTAGAATTTTTTTTTTTTTTTTTTATAAAGTATAAACAAATATGTTTAAACAACTTGAATCTATAACAGTATTTTAGTGATGTGCCAGGTATGTCTATTTTTTAGATTTTATTTCTTTTTTGTTATCCTATGCTATAAGGCATCATCACTGGGATAAAAAAGGCCTGTTTTTAATTTGATTAAACACACTTCACCACTGTTCTTTGAACCAATGATTCATTTTCTTGTAAATGAAACTTTTCACAATTGTAAATTGGGTTATTTATTAAGATCTCAGACTGGTTCAACTAAGACTCTCATAATCCCCATTGACAAGAGAATTGTAAATTGTAGGCCAAACTAAAGATTTACCAGGGACGCATTGGGCACCATAATCACTTGCTCTCATACAAGTAGTTATGATACCTGGAATGCTCTGTGGGTTTAAAACTGAATGCAGCCTAGCCCCTCTGTGCTACCAGGGCTCATACGTCTGCATTTAGCTGCAATGGTGGGCAACGACAGGCTGTCACTGCTGCCCATCGATGGAATAGCTAGAGCAGAGTTACATTCTTAAGATACTTTCCACATTACTTACACCTAGTGGGGAGTGGAGCAATGGGAACCTAGCAACAATCATTCAGTAACCAATGAAGATCACCTTGACATTGAACAGTGGGACAGTACCAGGTGACTCCGAGCACCACAACCCCTTCAATGAGGTGTCGTGGTTACGGTGCCTAGCGGGTCTCTTTAAGGCCAATAATAAATATGGAAACTTAGTAAAACCTTTAACAGACTGTTTAGGGATTATACAGGTTTCCTCTAATGTCTGGTGACTAAAGCCAAGCTGACATTAAGCCAGAGAGTGAGCTACTTCACAAATGATCTTATTGGTTGTGGAGAGGAGGTGGATGCAAAAGAAAAAAACAACACACAATGCAAAATAAAGTAAAATTTAATGGAGAAATGCACACACATGCCAAAACAAGTCACAAGGTGAACAGATGATATGAAACATTTCAAAATAATAAAATCATAAAAAAGGTATACCAAATGAAATAAAACAGCTAGAGAACAGCATAATCTAAACAAATATTTAATCTGGTCACAACAAAAGACTCCTAAATAATATAGGGTGTTTAAAGAATAAACATTTAACTGTATGAAAACTCAAGGGTTCAAATTAGAGATGGATTATTTGTTCTTGCAATCCAGTTCAGCACAGAAGGAGTTAAACGACAGAAAAACAAAAAATGTACAGATTTCCGCGCATATAGCGCCACTTTCCATCTGTGACAGTGGAAAAATGATAAGAGGAAACAATGAGCATGACTCATATTTGACTAAAATCATAAGCATATGGCAATGTTTTTTATGTCACCCAACTGCTCTTAAATATATTGAAAGAAAATAATGTGGACTTTGGTAAGATGAGTGTTCAGGGTGAACTTTTTCTAAATGATGCTGAAAACAGATGAAGTTATCGGTGCCCTTGTTTACATATATTCTAAATAGGGGATCTAACATGTACTCAATCAATTGGTTCTCTGTACGGAATGCACAAAAACCAGACTCTCATTGAGATAGCGGTGATGGCGGATGCTTCAAAAGGATTTTGATGCAAGCCTTCAGACTCACTAGCGATCAGATAGTCAGTGCAAAGCATTGGTTCTTAACCCTTTAGTGACAACCTGAAACTAGACCTTTGTTTGTGAAAACATTATATTCGCCCACAATATGCGGTTTAATGTACCATCACTGCTTTTACCATGCAATAGATACTCCTCTGACATTGGTGGTATATGTCTAACAAATATTTTTCTTCTTTTGTATTTTGTTTTCTTCTAACAAATAAGAATGATTTCATTTTTACAACAGAAGAATGGATTCCCAAGTAAACGCCAGGCACATCATTTGAGTCCCTTAAAAAAATTTTTTTAAGAACTACTGGTGTTAAACTAACCAACAACTGATTTTAGCATTTGCTTCTATCAGATAAAATAAACATTGGTAAACTGATCATAAAATAAGCATTCCTTTTAAAATTTTTCATATTTTCAGGTGATTCCATACAGCTTTACTCCTAATCCCCTAGTTCCCTCATTTACCATTACCACTGGCAAGTTGCTGCTAAAGTAGTAACTAAACAAAGGATTTGGTAACACATGGGTAAGAGGGATCAATTTAACGCCAGACCCACTGATAGCCATGTTATTAAGTCAGAGATGTATGCTCTTACCTGGGAACTTACATACAGAAATAATCATTTGGTACAGCCTCTTTAATAGCATAACCCCTGAAATGTTCCAAGGCTAACGACCAACAGAATATTGAAAAGATGTTCGAACATAGGGAAAAAAAATCCTACATAGAATACAACTTATGGGTACAAATCGCATGAACAATACCTTTATATATCTTCTTTACTACATACACACAAATCACTTAAAAATAATCCTTTGGATCTATAGTGTATTGTATTATTAAAAAGGAAAAAAAAAAATCTTTAAAACATACAAAGGATATAGCACTCACTAAGAAAGATGCACATGTAAATAAATGAGCATCAAACGACTTGGCCTACCACGTCCCAAAATTTTAATTTAATTTTGAGTGGCTCATTAATACATTGAGAAAACAAAGTATTCTTCACATCTTCTATGTACCCACCACTGATGCCTAAATAATTTTATTGGGAAGTTTATATTTTTTTTTTTTTGCACCTCTTTTCTATTACACATTTAAAACACTTGGTAATTCCAATTAAAATGCCCTGAATATCACATAATTAATGCCACATGTACGGTTTAAGTGTACTGTCACACTCCTTAAATACCAAGTGTGTGTAAAATAAAAAAATTCTCGCCGTACAAAGAAAGGGGGTGCACCACCTGCGGCAAGCTAAAAAACAAAACCACCAAGAAGGCAGGTGTGAATATACATACAATACTACAGTGGATGGTTTAACATTACTTTCATCTAGACTGTGACGCCATTTCAAAAGATACATATGTATAGCTGTGTGGTCAATTTTATAAGAAGTACATATACAAATACTAGCCGAGAACTTTACAATATGGCACCAAGAACATATTTCACTCGAGCTATAATACAATAAAAGTATTAAACTGACCAGGGTTTATACCAAAATCTTTGGGGCAATCTGCTGGACAACAGTGCATTTGGTGATTACCAAAGCCTGGGTAAACAACTCTCAACAGGTCCATTTCCATTAGATAAACCAGAACAATTAAAGCCGCAGTTCCCAAAATGTAGCTGTAGGAAAACAAAATCACTGTATTACATTCTCCATGTTAAACATACAAACTCAGCTAACTCTAATAATCTTGTTTGCTGAAATCTTTTCTATCTACCTATGCCTGTTTTGTGGCATAGGACTACCGGCTAAGATTCCAACAAACCTTATAATATATTTAAAATTGGGGTATTTTGTTTTAGATGTAGGCTCCCTGTCCATTATTAAAATGAAAATTCACCCTTTTCCCCCCCATCATTGAGACAATTTAGCCTGATTAACCCTCAAAGACTGATAATATCTGAACCGACCCATTGTTTAGCACCATGCTTTTATTTTATCTGCTAAAGATTAAAGATACGTTAAGAAATAATTACGAATTGAAATGGTTATATCACAAACTTTTTTAAAATAAATTTTACATATCTACATTAACTTTAATTGCCATGATGGCTTGCTAGCTTGGGGAAGAACTTTCCAATTCTCTTAGTTGGCAGAATTAGTTTCTTGTGGTCAGTGGAAATGTTTTTGCCGAAAGGACTTCAAGGGGGTTAAATCTGTCGATGGAAAGCTTTTAGTCCCCGATTATACCGTTCCCCAGTTGTTTATGTCAAGAGAAGTTGCAAAGTTCATGCAACTAAAGAATTGACAACATGGGTGTTAAAAATACTCACTACTCATTATGTTACTCTTCTCTTTTCTTAAAACCCAAGTACTTCTTTTGCTTTTTTTAATTGGTATTTACTATATGTTAATCACAAAGTATGATTATTTACAGCATAAAAATGCCCATTGTGGACTGTTAAAAAGGAACCATGACTTTCGGAGACAGATGCTTATTTATGCAGCCATGGTAACTTAAAAAAATAAAATAAAATTTAACTACACTGTCTGCTGCACGTCCTCATTTCGGCGACTGCACTGTACCATGATCACTTCGGTGCATGGGATTTAGAACATTGGATACTACAGGGAAGTGCTGCGATTCTGAAATAATTATATTGAACATATTTTCTCACGGAAACAAAGCTTTCAATTAGTTGTACTAATAGTATTTTAGGCTCCCAAGCATGCAGCTGCTGGATGAAAGACGGTGATCTGCTGAAGAACTATTGCAACAAACCTGCCTGAACTATGCGCTTCTCTCCTAAATTACCAGTCACATCTACTATCAAGTCCTTAAAGGGACAGTGTAGGTGATGTATCTGCCTTAGCCATACCTCCAGTTGGAGCCTGGCTGAAGGTGAGTAGAGCCCTTATTCACAGGTTAACTGCTCAGAAATGGTTTAACACTGAACGGAGAAACATCACCAGAGGACTCCAGGCACTATAATGAATTAGATTTAACAGTTCTAATGCCTACAGTGTCTCTTTAAAGCTTTAGTCTTTAGAAAATACTCAGAGACAAAGACTACTTAATCTTTTTTTAATTTTTTTATTTTACTAACTCAAACTACTTGGGATTCTCACAACAGTGCAGAAGTGACACTTGTCAGGTTATGATAGAGATAAAGAGATTGATGAGAAGTATATTATCTCGTAAATATATTTATTCACCATATTTATTGCTCTACCATTTCAAGTTTGGGAATCATCGCAGGTCAACTTTAAAACCTACAGACCCGCATTGTCACACTGTTGAAGTTATTTTTACGGTTAAAAATACAATTTAACCTATATGCTGTGATCGCCTATCCAACAGTAAATGTACAACTGACACAACAGTATATTATATTTTGATAATTCCCTATCTCATCAGCCAGATGGACTTCAGACCCACATAGCCACAATGCACTGATAGTCATCTTGGGATACACTAAAAGCAATGCATTCTGGGAACCTGCATAGTGCATGGTACACCAAAGTGTACACAAATCTGTGCAGTTATAGAAAAATAAATTAGCTGAAAATTTCAGCTGACAACATTACTTCATCTGTCTGTTTCCATTTAGTTCCCTTAATAGGATACGGTCACATCTCAGGATTTTTAATATAAAGTTTACTACTTCACAAAATTTGTGGGGTGTGAAAATTAAATCACTCTTTATCCTGCAACTGGGTGCTTTCATCTTTGCTACTATCATTGTAATATCTGTATTTGGCAGTCAACATAGATAAAGCATACAGAGAGGTTAAGAAATGTTTATTTATTTCTCATCCTCATTTGCATTGTGCGCCTTGGCAGTGCCTGTACGGAAACAGACTGGTTCATTCAAATCTTTAATTAATTTACTAGAAAATAGAGTATCACATGAAGAAAAAAAAAAAAAAAAAGCATAAACACAAGTTATAGGTGATTTTCAATGTTTTATTAAATAGTAATTTCTAGAGAAGCAACAGATCCCAGTTCCCAAAGGGACATCACTGTCACCCCCCGCCCCCCACAAAGAAAGAAGCAAAGCAAAGTCACAGACTAATTGAAGCTAGTCTGTTGAAAAGTGCAGCAAAAGCTTGACACTTAAAATGCCCATTAAATAACTATACAAGGTAATTTAAGAACAGACTCCCCTCGGCATTATTGACACAGAAATAGAATAGAAAATAAAAGCTGTTAAATGAAAACTTTGTCACTGTAAAAAGTATAAGAAACATTTAAAAATATCAATTTACCATCGTATTGGAGTGTAAGCAGTGCTGGAGGTGTGAGAGGACCTGTAACCGCTAAAATGTCACAGCAATTTTGAAAATACCTGCTGAAAGATGCTACACATATGCTTTGTAACAACCTCAATAAAAACTAATAATAATAAAAAAAAAAAACACAATAAAAATGTCTCCAATACAAAAAATTTAAACAATTTCGACTTTGAATTTTTTCAGATACCTGGCTCATTAAAGCATGAAAAATTGGAAAAAAAAAAATTGCTCAATTTACTCAAGAGGATATATTTATTTTCCGAAATTAAAAGTATATTTCAATGTTCCATTAGCAAATGGCATAAAACAAGTGTAAATAAAATACAGCAAAATTTTAGAGCAGTTCAAGGTTAAAAAAAAGGAAAAACCACAAACAAAAAATTTCTATATCAACGTTTTAGCCCTTTAGTTGGATTTTTAAGTGCTCCAACAGAAGTATTTATATTTCTCTCTTTTTAGGGTCCAGTCCTCCTTTAACCAACTAAATAGAATTATTGCCAGGCCTTGCAGCATACACTCACACAACCATTATATATTTATTTGTAAATACTTTTACTTCTCCAAATATGCATTATAGGTAATTAAAAAATATTTCCAAATAAAGAGGAAAAAAAAAAAAAAATCTATTTATAAACATAAGGAATCCGTACACCCTGACAATATTACTGTCACGGATTAATTTATATATAATTAGTACAGTGATGGGTCTGCTTTGGATATGTTAAAAAAATGAAACAGTTGTAAGGTTTTTAAATGTACAATGGTCTTGCATAGATAATTAGAAAGCACCAATTTTCTACAATTAACGCAATTCATATTACATATCTGCACCTATTAAAATTATTGGTTAATCTGTAAACTCTGTAGTTTCCATGTTTTCTTTATGGTTTGGTCCATTCACAATGTTAGGAGAGAAGGATGGCATGGGCAGAATCCATGCAATTAAATGACATGAACGTGTAAGTCCAATCTTGACATGCAAGCCTGTGCGTCTTAACTGAAAAAAGAAACAAAGCATGAAAAAAACTAAATAAAATAAATGAAGAAAACAAAAATATTACAAAATGAGAGAAAAAACAAAACAAACAAAAACATGGCACCAAACCCAACAAAAAGTCAGTTAGTTAATCTAGCAACAGTGAGTTTCTAGTCTGCCAGTTCAATTTGTGCTGCACCTTTAATATTGGTAATGTAATATAGGCCATTTACGGTTCATGGTATAAAAGATAAGTCTATCAGTTCATTCAACTATATATTATTTATTTTAATTTTAGCAACAGGGCACAGGCCTTTGAATACATAAAACCAATTTGGAAACTCCATAGGAGACTCCTATGCTAGTAATCGAAATAAAAAAATACTCATGGCTTAACTAATTTAAAAAAAAAAAAAAAAAACGCAGAACTCAAAGTTGTCAAATTAATGAAATACTGCTTTTTAAACATGGTCTTAAGACAAGCAATGCATTTCCTGGATTGATCATTTTGATGCGAACCATTAAGAATTTAAACACAAAGTAATAAAATAATGAAATAACAGAGCAATAAAGAAAATTACAGTTTCACACAAATAACTAAAAGTTAAATAGTAAATTAAAATGGAATGAACACGTCAAACTCCTTGCCAGATAGTACACTCTAATTGTACCCTCCTTTGAAGCTTCCTATACTTTTAGCGTTGATTACTAAGGTGGGTATATAAGGGGATAAAAAGCAAAAATTTCATGTTTTATGAAAGTTTTAAGCAAAGTAGTTGAAATACAATTATTTTGACCTAACATTTTAAATTCAGCTTGAATTCCCAACAATCCACACTTTAGTGTGTAATTATGTAGTGGTTTTATTTTTAAAATAGTTTAGATTTGTTCTGGTAAAGGAATATTTATTTAACTTTTGTGTACAAGGCATAAGGATAACTGTGGAAGATATTGTAAAATTGCTCTGCCACCTACTCAGAGAAACTACCCCCCAATATTAGGAGACACCAATTTCTAAGACCCCCCAAAGGATCAAAAAATATACCCATAAAAAAAATAAAAAAATAAAAAAAAGGCACATGCACATATGATCCAATCCGCATGATGTTTGCGTTTGGGATTCAGTGCTGTAGCGAGAAATCCTAGTGGACAGGCTAGTTTATGGATTTTACAGATGCTGTGAAGTTCTTCTAATTTCCTGAAATAATGGACATGAATCAAAACTGTGTTTTGCCAGTCTTCATGGATAATATCAGAACTCCCTATGCCTCCTTGACAAATATGGAAAGCCATGTCCCTCTACTGCTTCCAATAGTCTGCCATTTTTTCTTTGTTGAAGCTGGCGCTAGAATAAAGTTCGGGATGAGGGTATCAGTTAATAAACTGATTGTGTGCATATTTACGGAGTTTGTAGACTATTCCACATCTTAGTGATGCAATTCCATATTCACAACAACGGTAGTATCCCCATGCCCGAAGACATTTTGATTATATGAACATCAAAGGGGTTCTGCTCCTATTGAGAGTAGTCCCTCTGCACATTCCCCACAGAAAAGAAGGCATAAGCTTATGTGTATAAAATGTGGGCGATTACATTTTTACTGGATCATAGGGTACCAGAGCAAGCAATCCTAAAAGTTTAGCTTTAAACTGAACATATCGCATATAACTTCCTGCCCACGATGAACATGCATCTTGTATGGATCGCAGATCAACCCTCCAGTTCATCCCATCTCGATTTAATGTTGGTAAATTGATTAAAGGTAAACATTTTTTTAAATCTGCAACCTCTCAGAATAATGCGATGAGTGTTAGTTATTAATAAAATACAAAGTTTAGAGATCATATCATTGCCCACGTTAGCAGTTTCACTGTTCAGTATACCCTCAGTGAACAGATATTCTGCTAACCCCTCGACACTTAGTGGGTAAGCAACATGTTAGATTAATTAGAGTGGGTTTCCCACTTTTGAAACCTGTAGATTAAACTATGGTTCCCACTGATGAAGCGTCTGAAATATGGCAACTGCATGATGCAGCCGGTGGCTCTGTTCTGATATAGCCATATAAAAATTGAGCAAGTTCTCTTCTGCCAATAAACATCGTGCATTAGATGAAAATCCTAAGAGAAAACAGCAAATTATAAACTTAAAGAAAACGTTTTTCTTTTGTTTTTAAATCAATTTAGTTACAATATTTCTTCTTTGTGTAAGACATAGCAACTCATCTGATTCACAACTAGATTCTGAAAAGCATGGGAGTTGGATTTAAATAGCTGAAGACTAAACATATCATAAAATACATTCACGTAAACAGAAGATCGAGGTTAGTAAAAAATGGTTCTGGTTTACTGGCCAGTAGAGTACAATAAACCAAATTTAAAGATATAGTATAATCGGGCACTAGTCATGGACCAACTTAATCAGATTCTGTATTACAGACTAGCCACAACTAATGCTCACAATTCTTAATCTGTCTGTTTATTTAGCTTCTCAAAACAAACTTGCGAAAGTGTCAGTCAAACAAATAATGTATCCCTGAATTTAGCACAGGAAAACTTTGCTTCCATAGCTACTCAAGAACTAAACGGTTTATTAAATAAAGCTGAGAATTCTCAAAAAATTGAAATTCAATGAAATTCAAATTCAATCCAAAAATAGCCAAACTGGATACATTATCCAGCTCAGCTCCCTTGGCCTTAACTTTGACATTCACTTTGAATTCTTGACAATTCTCACCTTAGTGAATAACCCTTTCAGTTCTGAGCAGCTCTTCACACAGAAATCCTGCTGCAGAACTCAGGGCTCTGCTTCCTTCAACATCATTGGTCCAGTGAAAGAACATAGCGGAACACAATCAGTACTGTGTGTTATAGAGAACATTTCTCAGGAGTGCACATAGATGTGCTGACAATGTAATCTCGAGGATTGTTATGTTTAGGATTGAAACCATAAACACTCCAATGCCCACAGCAGGGGGTCACATATCACAGATAGGCAAGGGGACCAAGATTAATACTGCAAAGTTTTACGCTGTAAAATGCATTGTTGAATTATATTTTCATTTGTGGATTCATAAAAAACTAATTGTATTATTGACTTAAATAAACCTTAGTAGATACACATTACCAATCTCAAAGCATTGGTAATGGCAACTGCATTTCACGAATACCATCCAATAAATGTATGCAGCTACACAATCTAGGGGTGGGGTGATGTGATGGCTATTGCACACTTACTTTTTCCGGTCTTTGTCCTTCTTCAGAGGCTGCTGGGAAGTCGCCTGGAATGACTGTGATTGCAAAGTCTCCATTGCAACTTTCCGTCTGTTGAAGGCATTCATCTCTTCCTCCAATTCCTTCCTCTTGTCCTCCACCTTTTTGTTTTCATCGTGATGTATCCTTTTCAGATGGGCAAACTTCTCTTGTAACTGAAAAAAAGATGCATTGGCACATCAAAGTCAGGACAAACAAAAATCCACACATCCATAACTTAGAGATAGGATACTTCTTGTTAAAGCTTTAACTACATCTCTTATTCCATGAAATCTTATATAGTTATGCCAGAGTGGTCAGTTAGTCACTCTGCTCTCCAATCACATAGCTATTTTTTAGAACACTGGGTAAGCAAAGTACCCTGGAGCTGTTAACTTGTCTCCGTTCAGAACACAGCTTCCCTCCCAAACCAAAATGTATGCCACACATTTTCGCTCTATACTTTATCTTGTAATACATAAACTAGACCAAAGATGGATTCGGTACCAAATGCACAGTGCTGTACCACAGATCGCTATGAGCTACACAAGTGCTAGAGACAGAGAGAGACTGTCTGCGTTCAGGATGCTAAAGGAGATTCTATTGGCAGCGCTGAACACTAACTTTGCAAAGAAGCAATTTAGTTTGTGGATACACGGCTGCCATTTACCTCTCTCTCCTTCTCTTTCAGTTCAGCTTCTGTCTCCTTGACTTTGTTCACAAACATCTGTCTCATTTCTTCCTCTTTACGCTGCAAGTCACCAAGGAACTCTTTCCTTTTAGCTTCATAGGTCTCTTGAAGGCTGAAAGTAGAAAACATGAGATCTTGCTATAATGAGCCTATTTATAGATGTCCATGAGCTGTTAACATGGGTCTAATGTAAAATTCATGAGAGGTCTTCGTAATAAAAAAAAATAAAATAAAATAAAATTGGCAATGTAAGGTCTACTTGGTTTCCAATTTGCAAACAACAGTAACAGTGTTTCCTCCAGGTCCTACTAAGTTTATTTATTTTTTATATAAATATTGTGATGTTCGATACTGGTTTAAGTTTTTTTTTTTCCAATGGCTTTGCCCAACTCCCATATGATAGCTTCCTACCCAACAGCCACAGCCTTTTGTTTTAGCAGTCGTAAGGCTGGAAAAAATGGAGAAAGCTGAATATACCAAAAATATACCTGAATGGCTGACTGTCAGGATCTGTGTCTTTGAAACCCATCTCCTCCAGCTTACACCTTCTGTAGAGCTCGTAATGGCGTGTGTGGGTCTGTTCTCGAAGGTCCTCCATGTTTACACGGAGCAGCATCTCTCGCAGTTTTATAAAATCACAGTGGGATTCATTTTCAACTATAAATAAATGGGTAATGTAAGAGGATGTAAAGTCATTTAGTACATTTTTAACATAGGAATGCTATAATCCAAAAGTTAGTGTGTGTAAAATTATATAGATATATATCTATATATCTATCTATACACATATATACATACACACAGACTTTATTTTAATATCACCTGTCAAAAACCAACCATCTTCACCAAATTCAAACAACATAATTTTGAAATATTTTAAATGTCATCTTGATACAACTATGAGCGCATCTACATATATTTGGGTCTTTACATTAAGGTGTAATCGTTCTGCTATTCTCAATTTAAGTTTGTCATTAACATATCTGTATAATATTTCAGGCAAACCTGTCCTCTTATATGTGACGTCTTGTGATCAGTCTCCATTTTGTATATGGTTTAAAATAGGTTGCCACTGTATTGTAATTATGGCTTAATCGGAATAAACAGGACCAAAAGAAGAACTATGCTTTCAGGCACATACCTTGCACAACACCCCATGGATACTGTCTGGCCCTTACTAGTTTATTGCCCACTTTAACCTCTTCTGTACTGCCGACCACTGCAAATGGGAGATGTCCCTACGAAAAAAAGATACAAAACATGTAATACTCTTTATTATCATGACATTGATATTGTACGATGTAAAACAAGCACTGAAAGAAGCAGATTATTAATCTTGCTAGTTCGTTTTCCTGTACCAGTTTATAAACCAGATGGTAAATTAAAGGGCCACTATAAGCACAGAAACATTAGCTTAGTTTAACTGCTCAATTCTCTGCCATGTAAGAGTTAATTCACTTTGTTTATGCAGCCCTTCCATCTCCCCTGCATGTGACTTATACAGTCTCAGTACACATTTCTTGTAAAGGGAGATCTAATGTTTAAACTTCCTTTATTGCACATTCTGTTTAATTTAGAATGTCTTATTCCCTGCTCTGTTAATAGCCTAATAGAACATGCTGGAGCCTCCTGTGTGCGATTAAAGTTCATTTAACAGAGCAGGAGACAAAAACTTCTAAAGTAAAAACACACTGTACGGATTGAAAATGACTGCATGAATAAAGAATTTAACTCCTAAATGGCAGAAAATTGACCAGTGATTCTGCAGGGGCAAGATCGATTCATCAAAACCACTTCATTTAGCTAAAGTTTTTTTGGTGCTTACTGTACCACATTATTAAAAATATCTTTAGAACTACCCTGACACAAAAGGAAAGTTTATTATACGATGCTTATAATAGGACATGGCACTCCAGCAAGTAGATTAAACATTTATGTCAGGGCTGTCCAGCCTGCGGCCCCCCAGATGGTGCTGAACTACAACTGCCATGATTCTTTCAATGAAACAGATAGCCGGGGAATCATGGGAGTTGTAGTTCAGCAACATCTGGGGGGCCGCAGGTTGCACAGCCCTGATTTATGTAAATGATTTTACAGATACAAGTTGCCACATGTTTTAGAAAGCAAGTAGATGTCACTGTTGATTGATAACTGACAAAACAACCAACGGCAATACATTTGAACTCAAAGTTGTATTTTCTTTCGAGTACTTTTGCTTTCAATTAGTCACAATACTGGATGGACCCTAATCAGAAAAGGCACAAAGAATAAAAATGCAGATTCAATACTGGAATAGATAGACACCAGTATATTCTATCTATATCTAAAATATTCAGTATTTTATCAATATTTAAACATATTTAAAAGCTATTTTACATAGCTAGATAGACAATATATTGAGAAAAAAAAAAAAAAAAGGCTTCCTCCCCCACCCCCCATCAGATAAACGCAGCCATAGTATTTTAAGTGCACATTACAAAGCACTAATTGCAAACAGAAAACCTGTGCATAATAGTGTGATGGACAGCACACAAAAACCTTTACTACCTTATTTGGCAACCAAAAAGTTAATTATATTAATATCAGGTAGTTTTTTTCCCTTGTACCTTTAACGTCATCTGAACTAGACAGCAGGCGCCTATATTTTACAATATAACAATCTAGCTATAGAGGGCGCTAGAGTACTGCTGCAGAATCCCAGGGAATAGCAATGTTTAAAAAAAAAAAAAAAATGAAAGGCAGCCTGCTTCTCTCTGATTTTCTTTTTATAGTATATGCAGACAATCTAGTTTTTCAGAAGTATTTTGGTATTATACGTACATTCATTGTAGAGTTGACATCAGCCATAGCGTCGTCATCCGTTGGAAACTGGTAGATCTGAACGCCGTTACTGACCAGCTCGCTCATGATTTTTATTTTGAACTTGTGCAGTTCACTCTTGGAAATTGTGTCAGCTTTAGCTATTATGGGAATTATATTAACCTGTAAAACAATAGAATTAATGCACTAGTGACAGGTTATTGTTTAAAGAGTCAACATTTCATATCACTGTAATTTTAGGTGTTATGTTCTGAAATTAATCTACATTTAAGGGACACAAATATTATTGGGTCATGGCTACATTTTAATGTAAAATGATTTCACCAGAAAAGGAATTTATTTTTATTCTTTTTTTTTGGGGAGGAATGAGGTTACACAATTCTAATGCTCTTAATTTTAAAAGTCAACATCCACCTACAACACTAGAGCAATTTCTGCCAAAGGATTAGGTCTTTCAGTATTGTGTTATACCAGGTGTTTTGTTACAGCTTAACAAATGAAGCTAAACAAACAATATACTAACCACACGTACGGGTATCTAGTGCATGGGCTAGATTGCCATTAACTTCTGAATGAAATATGTAGTTACATTTATTAGTTGAAATATTTAGAGTGTTAAACTAGGATAAAATCCTCAGTTAACTGCCTGTTCCTCCATTTAGGCCATCGCAAAGGAGCGAACCAAGGTGTAAATTAATTTCAAAATATTTGGTGCAATTCTGGGACTTCAATTCAGATAAAATTCACTGAATCGATGTTCGTTCTAATTCATTGCCTTGGAAAGGTATGGAGCAATGTGATTGGAAAGGAACAGAGCAATGTCATTGGTTGGAACAGTTTATTGTTTTTCATCACTGTAGGTAAAATTGCCTTTCCTCAACTCAACATGGATAAATTTGTGTTATTTGTACATTGTCATTAATAAACAGGTCAATAAATATCCCTTTATATATTTCTATAGTAATCATGTCACAAACATACACAGAATGACCAATCAATGAGAGAGAGAGAGAGCGCAGGGCCGGCGCTACCTGTAAGGCGGACTAGGCAGCCGCCTAGGGCGCCCCTTGGGAAGGGGCGCCGCCAGGAGCGCCGGCCCCCCTAATGCTGCAGCCGCCCGAGTGCTCTGTAGAGAGCCTCAGGCGGCTGCAGCTTTGCCCGGGCGGTGCGTCCATGAGTGCGGACCGCACCGCCCGAGCGCAACCTGAGGAGAGGGGCTGACAGGAGGGAAAGCGCTCAGCGCTCCCTCATGTCATTCCCTCTCTGTAGCGTGGCCGAGCTCTGTATAGTCGGCGGGTACAGGGAGCATCTGTCTGGACAGGGAGGGGAGGGGGGGAATAAATGGACAGGGAGGGGAGGGGGAGAATAAATGGACACAGGGGGAGATAAATGGACAGGAGGGGGGAATAAATGGACAGGAGGAGGATGCAAATGGACAGGGGCGGAGATAAACGACAGGAGGGGGGGAAATAAATGGACAGGGAGGGGGGAATACATGGACAGGAGGGGGGGAATACATGGACAGGAGGGGGAACATACGGACAGGAGGGGGGGAAATACATGGACAGGAGGGGGGAACACATGGAGGGGGAATAAATGGACAGGAGGGGGAAATAAATGGACAGGAGGGGGGAAATAAAATGGACAGGAGGGGAGAAATAAATGGACAGGAGGGGGGGAAATAAAATGGACAGGAGGGGGGTCGGACAGGAGGGGGAAATAAATGACAGGAGGGGGAAATAAATGGACAGGAGGGGGAATAAATGCACAGGAGGGGGGGGGAACCAAATGGACAGGGGAGGGGGGGATAAATGGACAGGAGGGGGGGATAAATGGACAGGAGGGGGGATAAATGGACAGGAGGGGGGGGATAAAGGACAGGAGGGGGGATAAACGACAGGAGGGGGGGGGATAAATGGACAGGCAGGGTGGGGAACAAATGGACAGGCAGGTGGGGAATAAATGGACAGGGAGGGGGGGATAAATGGACAGGCAGGGTGGGGGAATAAATGGACAGGCAGGGTGGGGGGAATAAATTGACAAGGTGGGGGGGAGAAATTGACAGGGAGGGGAATTGACGGGGTTAGGAGGGGGAATGAGAGTGGGGAGGGGAGAAGAGAGTTACAACGGGGGGAGAAGAGAGGGACAAGAGGGGGGAGAAGAGAGGGACAAGGGGGGGAGAAGAGAGAGACAAGGAGGGGAGAGAAGAGAGTGACGAGGGAGGGAGAGGGGGAGAAGAGAGTGACAAGGGAGGGGGGAGAGATTGACATCCATCACACACACACAATGCACCCCTTGCACACAGAAAAACACACAATGCATTACACACACACACAAGCAATTCAACCCTTACACACAATGCATCCCTTACACACACAGAAACACACAATGCATTCCTTACACACATTCAATGCACCCCTTACACACACTCAATGCACCCCTTACAGACACACACACTGCATCCCGTACATACATAGAAACACACATTGCAGCCCTTACACATACAAACACAGATTCACACAATGCATTCCTTACACACATATCAGGACATCCCCTACTCCTGTGAACAAACTAATTGGAGGAACATGAAGGTGGACCCTGGGGCTCAGACCTTGAGCTGTGTAAAGGGCCCCCAAAAAATTGAGCTGCTTCCCGTTCTCCCAGAACACAAACAGCCTCCAGAGAGCCTGTTCTACACCAGACGAGTGGAGCCAGACTGCAGCTAGAGCCCATCACCATCCTCATCTGATTGTAAGTAGGCAATCTAGTATATTATTCGTGGCACTAATCTCTAATTTACCTCACATTAAAGGGACACTTTAGTCCCCAGAACCACTGCAGCTTAATGTAGTGGTTCTGGTGTCTATAGCCTGTCCCTGCAGGCCTTTTAATGTAAACACGGCGGCACTGCAGCACTTGCGTTAGTTAACATGGGGCATTGTGATGTCATATGGGGGTGGGGGGGGGCAAACTTTACTTTTGCCTAGGGCGGCAAAAATCCTTGCACCGGCCCTGAGAGAGAGAGAGAGAGAGAGAGAGAGAGAGAGAGAGAGACAGACAGACAGACAGAGACACACACAAATTGCATGATTAGCCATACTCTAGATTAAAAAAAAAAAAGAAAAAAGAAATGGCTCAGGGCACAAACTAGGAAATCATCAGGTATGTGCAATGGTTGCTATCAGACACTGGGTCTAAATAGAAAAGTGTTCTGCATCTGGGTTAAGTAAGGGAAAGAAAACAACAGCTGTGAGAAATCCAATGCTGGAAGTAAGGAATCAGATAATGGTAGTAGTCTAAGAAATGATAAATTAGGCTGACAACATTGCCAAATCTACATAGCTTTCATATTTGGACTGGTACGGTCTGGCACATGACCTGTAAAACTGTTTAATCACTACCATTCATTAATGTGTGTGTTGAAAGTCTTTTTTTTCTTACATTTTTTAAACTGGCTGCTAGTCTCTATATTAAAGTAGAAATCATAATAAAATATTAACCATCTAGCTTCACTTGCAAAGTTAATATTTAACGTATTTTTTTGTATTTTATTTCTCTTAAAATCTTAAGTCTGCCTTTTTTATTACATCACTGCAGCAAGCTTGGCAGTCTGCCTTCTTACAAAACATACAGGAGGTTATCAAACTGCCCGCCAGCCAGCAGTCTTAGGAATAATATTTAAAGAAGCTAGCTGCCAAAGCCCTATTGTATATTCAAGTGCAATTGTTCTTTAAAATGAGACACAAAAATATTGGGTGTGTGACTGTGTCTGCGTTTGGTCCTTGTTCACACTGATCATTTTCCTTTACTTTGTAAATTGTGAATACACAGAATAAAGTTCATTCATACAGGGTGTACTCCCAAAGTTTCAAATAGAGTAAGGAAAACACTGTTTTAGCTAAAGATACGGCTTGCTGTTCTAGAACACATTTTGGTAATTGAGACCTAGCAATATAGTTATCTAGACAGAAAAAGACCAAGAGAAATGGATTTCTACACATTTATTTTAGTTTACAGAGTTTTATGATGGAGGAGTTTTGAGATGGTCATATTGCTGACCAACCCCAATGCAACACATACACACTGTACATCAGGTGGCGCTTTGGATGGAGAAGACAGGACACAGTTCAGCATGTACTGCACAAGTCCATATCATGGCACCCACTGGCAGGCGAACCATGAGCAGCGAGCAGAAGTAAAGGCTATGCTGACAAGTGCACAACTATCGTGTCCCCCAACACTACACACCAGACAAAGCATGAAGCCCATCTCCCTCCCTTAATAGGGCAAGGACAGAGAGAGAGGAAAATAAATTACATAGGTCTTTCTATGAATAACATGCAGTGTGTAACTATGTCTGTGTGGTGTCTGTGTGGTAGGGTGGGTCAATGCATGCTAATGTGTTTGTGCACGAGTGTATATGTATTGATATAAAGATCCGTGGTCTAGTCTATGTTTATGTAGGGGTGATTGTAAAGCTAGTCAGGTGTGTGTAGCAAAGCATGTATGATGCATGAGTGTGACCAGTTGGATGATGTGGCTGGATAATTTTATGTGCATGTGATTGGGTGATTGTAATTTCATTAAAGGAACACTCCACTGCCCAAATGCACTTTTTTTTTAATCCCTGTTAAGTAGATATAAACCAATGAAAACTTTCATGCATTAAATTATGCATATTTTTCTCATTGGGGTATATTTAAAAACAGCTTGAAAAACTTGCAGTTCTCTTGTCTGCTACGATTACAAACCCATGACTTCAAGCCCCGCTCAGACTTTGTGCGGCTGTCCAATCACAGACTTGCCAGTGCAGCTCAATAAGAAGTCTTTGCAAGGGAGGTGCTTTGAAGCTGAATTCAAGAGGCAGGCAATTGTGTAAAGAGCTAAACAAGCCAGGAAGTAACCTGTTGTCTGTGTGAAAGCCAGGGGGATGTAACCAGGTTAAGTTATATTGATAAGTGTTCATTTCTATTGAAAAATGCACTGTTTGCAAAATTAAAAAATAGGGGACACTCTTCACATAAAGATGCAATACAGCTGTATATGGGATATCCCCTCCCATTGCATTTGGCAAAATGTGGCTTTCATAGCCTTGTTACATTATGGGACAATCAACAGACCCTATTGCTGGATGTCAGTGTTGCTCCTTTTTATCTTTTTACTTGCAACATCCTGCTTGATTGTTGGAAGCATTACCTGTTCTTTAGTAGCTATAAATTGTAACCTAAAACTATATATTTTCCTGTTCTTTGTTTGCATTATAACTGGGTTTGGAGTGGACTTGTTCACGAAGCTAATTTGTGATGCGTGGTGAGAATTAACAGACTGGCTTCTGATGCAAAACACCAACTTATATAACAGGGTATCATGATTGGCATGGACTACTCCTGCATGTGTTCACTGTTTGTAATTATGCTTGCTGCCAAGTGTGTTCTAGGAACCACGTTCTCCAATTATCCAAGTACCCAGCAAAGTAGGAAAGAGTAAATGTGCACGACACATACACACTCATTGCTTCAACTATTTTTTGCCATTGAATAAGTTTGCATGCAACGTGTAAGGCTATACCGCAACTTAAATGGGTCTGTAGTGGGTTTTGTCGCTTTAAGTATCATTGTTTCCACACTCTGGGAATTTTACACTAGATATGAAAAGTATTATGCAGTCTTCCAGAAGGAAGGGTGAGGTGGACAATCAATCACTAGAATATGTAAGTGTGCATATTTTAATACAAATTTAGGATTGCTGTGAAATTAAATTTTCTATTCTTTTTGCAAATCAAGTTGAACCACATAAGACGAGGAAGAAGATTACAGATATGAGTTATGTGAAATGTGTACTTTTGTCATTTCTTTGTGAGGGCATCTATTTTTTTTTTGTCTATTTGACTTTCTATACTACACCACTAGATGTGTACACACAGATACCACCATTTGTTAAAAAAAAAATCTGTAAAATTATGACTAAATTTGGTGGTTTTACCAATATTGAATATCAGATGACTGCGGCAATGAAGATTTCAAAGTATTTCCTGAGATATGTGAATAGCGTGCATGTATTTTCATTTATTTTCTGCTTCCTGGCAAGTATACAATTTGTTCTTAAAACAGATTGCATGTATTTTGCCGGTATCACAATTCTAATCAAAAACCAAACTAAACTCCTTGTATATATTTTATGTAAACTACAGCATGGCGGTAATAATAACAATTTGGGAATTTTGTAATGCTGAAAATTGCTCCATTTTCACTGCATATTGGAAAACTTCCAAATAATTAACTATTTAGACAAACATTGCAGACACATAAAGCACTTCAGCAGTCTGAGAGATTTATGACAGTTTATTTAAGTGCAGATTTTAATAGAAATTGGCACTTTTATTAAATATAGCCGAAACGCCTCCCCAGTTTTCAGACAGCGGCTTCTGCTAGTTCCACAGAATTTGGGCTAGTATAGCCTGCCTTTTACCCTTCTCAATGAGCATTACTACAGCTCAATAAGAAGCACAAGAAAGCTGTGCGCATGTGCGGCTCCAAACAGGCTTCTCAATGAGAAAAAGAGGAAGAGCTTGCAAAGGCTGCAAACTGGTCTGCAGAAATAAATATTTAATATATGCATGTTTTCTTGGTGCTAAAACTACTAAATTGTTACATTTAAATATATATACATACACACACACATTTTTAAATTGATTGTTCCTTTAAGTCTCTCACTCCCTTCCACAAGTAGCAGCACATATGCAGAGGTTGAGCATGTACTATAGAAATAGATGAAAAAGCAACAGACGAGAAGCATGCATGTTGTATGTGGCTGTTGAGTTTGCATCACAGGCACAAGTCAAGATTCCACTGGGGCAAACATGCTGTTTTGGTTGTGACGTCACTCTACAGAAATGTATGAATTTCCATCTCGGTTGCATACCATACCTTACTATCCAGTTTCTTCATTGTAACCAGATCCAGAGATTTCAGCGAGTGACCCGTGGGTGTGATGAAGTACAGACAGACGTGTATCCTTGTGTCATGGTAGTCAAAAAGGGAACGTCTAATTTTGAGCTCTTCTTGGAGGTAATTCTCAAACTGAGTATCAATGTAATCAACGACTGACCTGTAACTGCAAAAAGACACCATGTAAAGCTGTGGTTATCGTAGAATTGTAACCATTTTCTTCATTGTCATTTCCTAATAAACCTCTTTCCATCAGGTGATGGACTTAAATAAATATATATTTATTACTAGATGCCTAATACAGCAGCATTTTAGACTTAAAACAGAAATTCAGGTCAGTGTGTAAATGGTGTTAATTGTATACAGTGCAAGCATTAGAAGAGCCAGGCCCGCCATGTTTTTCTGGACACATATCACATCTATATTGATAGGAACAATAAGTGGTATCCTGCAGCATATAGAATCCAATTGCTGAAATAAGAACTCAACAATATAGGATTTCTAAACTACGAAAAACAAAACTCAGGGCAAAAATATGAAGTACCGCCTGTCCAGAAAAAAAATGGCTGATCTAGCAACCATACCTACAAAGAACATTTCTAGCTGGATCTTCGATATAACCAGGTTTTGAGAGTCGAAAAGCTAATTCACCACTTTCACCAGTAATTTGCAGACCTGGTATTAATGTATTTCTACAAATAAGACATCATGGAGGAAATTTATTAAAAGCAACCAGGTGTTATTTTAAGTACAACGTGCTAAACTTTGTGAGACATTCTACTGGTTTCCATGGGGATTTCTCTTTATTTAGCTTTTTTGCCCCAGAGCAGCTTTGGTTTTCATCTTGATAAATTTCTCCCTTTACGCATACATTTAATGCCTGGAGATGTCGTAGTGACCTTTAACACACAACTCTAAATTTAATAGTACTCAGGGCTGTGTACAACAAAACACATAAGTTATGAAAATTGGTAAAATGTTCCACTATTCTGGCTCAACATTGCTGCTCTACAGAAGGTCTGGCAAACACATTAACAGTTTCACAGACAAAACACTGCCTAAAACATTCATTGGTGTTCTATAGATTGTTTATCCTATATGACACACACACTTTTTTTTTTCCATTTTCGTGAGCAACATGAAAACACACATCTATAATCTATATAATCTGTCCACACCTTTCTTCCTGTGGCATTATTATACATATGGGAAGAGTCCGGGTAGATGAACAAGATTCCTGACAACCATAAAGGGTGTGGAAACATATGGCAAATAGCAAAGTAACAATATTTCAAAGAAACAGGACTCCCATGAGGAAATGCAGTGTATAATTTTCTGAAATTTCACACTAAACAACAATAATGAAACAACAAATAGCATTTCAATTTGGTTGATGCATTAACCAACTTTTAGAACAATTTAAAAAAATAAATAAATAATTTTTAAATCTCTTGGGGAATTTAAGGGTTAAAGACAGAAGAGGTAGCGTGGGTTAGGCTTGTGAACACTATACAAAGCTACCTTTTATTGCAAGACAAAAGTCATTGAATGGGAGGTTTTCTCCAGAGGCGTTTGCAAGAGCAAGTGCACCAGCAGGGCACGTGTCTTACAACAGAGCCACGTTCAGTCAGAATCGGAGATGACCTGCAACGAGTAGCTCAAAAAGAACATTAGGGCTGACACAGGAACAAGAAATAAATAAATAAAATATGCACAGGATTGGAGCAAGGTCAAAGGGAAAATGATAACTGGCCCAAATGAAAATAGGTCACCTTTCTTATTATGTACTTCTTGTATACAGTGGATGGGGCAACAATTAAAGGGGAACACTCACTTCTTATGATGTTAATGTTTACCTAAGTTCTGTATTCACAAATATTTATTTCTTATGTGTGAAGAATAAAACTAAATGTAGGAATCCACACCTTTTTATCCTACAACAAGGGGTGTCCAATTTGGCTCTCTGCCAATCATTGCTGTAAGCTCTGTCCTTCACACTTGGCAGTCAAAGTATACAGAAGAGAGGAGAAATAAACACAATGTTTGTATTTCTCAACTTGATTTGCAGTGTGTGCTCTAGCTGTGCGGGATGGATGTAGATTGTGAGCAAGTTTTGGAAATTTGATTTAAATTTAAAAGAAAATGCAAAAAAAAGTAACAAAAGTTCTAAAAGATGTTAAATGTTTTATTCAATGGTGCAATTTACAGAAAAAGAGGTAGCGTGACAGATCACCCGGTCACCCAGGAATTGTACGTGTCTCCCAACCACCATGCACCTCTAAAAATAACTATTTTCAACTTAATTGCCTCTCCCAGCCCAGCACCCTTCCAACTGGCCCAAGACACATTGTAGACCCGCAGGAAGGTCGAAGAGGCACTGTGTAGCAACCTTCAACTTCTCATTGGATGGCGGAGCTGCCGTAGTCCAGTAAAACTTTGTCATGGGAGCTCTCGGTCTCAGAGTCACCTATCCAAACGCTATTTGGAGGGGAGATAGAGGAGGTGATGAGGCATCATACCCATGACTTGATGGAGCTCCATGTATCAACTGAGAGCACCATCATTTTAGGTGACCAGGATTTCCAAACCAGCGCTATGGAACTTTGCTGTGGATCAGAGAACGATCGCAGCCCCGTCAGAACTTTACTCCCAACTAACTCAGGCTAGCCATTTCCGATCTGAGCTCCTTTTTGGTCTCAGGAGCCATTTAGAAGACAGTTTTCCAATGACAGCATTTATTGGGGAATATGACAATGGAACCATGCTTTTTATGTTAAATTGTTAACCGGTGCAAAGATGTCTTGACGCCAATTCAATTATCTGGTCAGGCATGGACTCCTAGGTGCCAGGTATGTCACAAGAGATATTGTTCATCTGGGAACCTCCTGTTGAGGACCCAAGTAAAAAAAAAAAAGTGCAGTTTTCCCAATAAAATAAGTTCTACCTTACTCTACACCAAGTCTTGGCAAGAGCTTGGGATAAACCTGCTAGAGCAGCTATAACACTATACTATGCTCTCTGAGCTATAATCGCAGAGACAAACTGAGTCCTTGGTGGCGACACTCAGATTCCCTGTGAGTAGGCCGCCACAGGTAGTTTCCCCTTTTGATGTATTCGATGAAAGATTGTCATTGGCTCCATTCATTGAAAGTTAATTCCTGCATCACATATTTCAAAGTAACATTGGATTAAATTGGATCAAGTAGTCACTAGCAGTGCTTTCTTTAATTTATAAGAGTGTACTTATAAAAAGGTTCACTAAGAACATTGTTAAAAATAAATTAAATAAAAAAGGGCCAAATGCAAAGCAAGGATGCCGGTAAAAAGAATAGTAAGGAATGCCATTGAAACAGGCTAGTGGCACAGAAAGACCAGGAGAATCAAACAACTTTCAGTAAAGTAAGATGGGACACACAATGAAAACTGTGTAATGAGCAATAATATAATATATATATATATATATATATATATATATATATATATATACATACATACATACACACACACACACACACACACACACACACAATTATGGGGAAAGTTTTATTGCTAAATACCAGGCAAATCAAGTCCAGCTACGTAAAACTGAAAACATATTTAGCACATTTTAGAACAGAGACAATTGGAAACAACTCATGAGAACCCCTGAAGATGAACAATAATGCTCCAGTTATATTACATGGAGTCAACTGAAGTAAAGTAAAAGTCATGCTTAGTGTGCATATGCCAAACAGGACAGTTCCACAAAGTCCCTCTTACAATGCAGTGATAGCCTCTATGCACCAGAGCTATTACATCAAGCTGCAGTGGTTGTGGTGCTTATAGTGCTCATTTAATAAGTTGCTACCCCATCCTCCCCCCAAAAAAAAAAAAAAATTCACAACCCCTTTGGCAGGAAATGTAGTCACAAATGCCATACAAAACAGAAGCAAATTATATATTTATAAAGCAGTAATTAAGAGAAATGCTCAAGGTAAGCTATTTTCAACCCAAAATCTGCAGGGTGGAAACATTTTCAAATTCACTTATTTTTGTCTAATATTTTCATTTTTTTTTTGTCTGCCTAATTCCTATTTTAAAGACTAAAGTCTTAAGGGTTTTACAATACATGTCAATGTTACAACGGTATAGGCTTTTCTTTCTTTTTTAAAACTAGGAGTTCACGACATGCTCCAAGCTATCACGTACTTCTCCTGACAGCAGCATTAAGGATTTATAAATGACAAGTTATTAATAAAATTAAAAACCACAGACACCTTATGTCACTGCCAAGACTCCAAGGCTTTACTGGAAAGCGTGTGGTAGAAATATTTTCCTGTGATTTATGCCTCCCTAACGATTGTGGCAGGTAACTTCCAGACAGCTCACATACTTCTGGGAAAGTCTAATCAAACAGCAAAAGAAAGATCACTTTAATTATGGCCTATCACAAAAAGTAAACGATGGCTTTAAACACTCGGGTCACCTGGTTATATATCACTGATACACAGGTTTCAGTAACGTGAATTGCTCCAGCTGTTGGCGCTAGCCTTAGGGATAACCAACAACTCATTCAGCTTTATCAACTGTAAGCAGAACTCTGTGTTAACTTGTATGCTTCTTTGCTGATAAATTGTATTTCAAAAGAATTTAGGCTGTGTGTTGTGAGCACTGCATTTCTGTAAAACAAAAAGCCTGATCACAGGTGAAAGTTGTTTTAAATCACTAGCTTTTCTCATCAAGACATTTAGAAACGCACATAAACCAGTCATCCACAGGGTAACGTATATTATTATTTATAAAACACTAACAAATTCTGTAGCACTGTACAATAGGTGTAACTATAGATGCAACGTATATACACGGGGCTGTAAAAAATATGTACATTTAAATAAAATAAATCACACTAGTCGATATATATACACACACACACACACACACACACACACAGGTATTTAGGGAATTGCAGAACTATGTGAGGCGACATCATTTTGGAACAGGCTGTTGACTCAAAGTGGCTGTCACCTCAAACTTGACCGTCTCCAGTTTCCACTTCTCTTCCTCTTTTAGAATCTGTTCTTTTCTAATCTATTTCTCTTGAAATCAAGATTGTCATAGGAAAAAATACATAAGACAAAGGGTGAAGATTAAGGGCAAGCTCTGCTTAGTTTAACAAAAAAACCTAGTCAGGATTTTCAAGCGTTTGAAAAATACACAAACAATGTAGTCCTTACTTTGTCTAATGTTTTAAAGATAAATAGATCCGATACAAAGAAAAGAACAGATTCTGAAAGATTGAGAATAAGAAGCAATACAGAAAGGCAAATTTGAGGTGACAGAGCCCCTTTTAGCAGTTGACCATGGCACATCTTTAGATGGACTTGATAAGTCAATAGCGTAACCATAGGACAGCACCGACCAATGAGGCTGTGTCATTATTCTCTGCAATATTATTTTTTTATCGGCTTCATAAGTGCTGCAGGCATTTTAAAGAATTTATTTTGTTAAATTAAATTCTAGATTCATTTTAAATCCAAATCATGGCAGTGGCTTGATGATTCATTACACCTAATTTACTAAACTGAATAGCATAACTAATGCAGATAAACGCTTGGGAATTCATCAGAAGTTCTACCAACACAAATGCAAGTTAGATGGTAATTTCTACATCAATTGAAAAGCCAAATTTCAATAATGACTGGTTCACCCCACCAAATAAACAGGTTTAACACAAGAGGTGTCAAATCTTTGGACTAAAAATGCCTTCCAGGTCCATGACTGACGGATTTTGGACTATCCCTTTTAAATAAGGAACCCTGAGAAGTATGCCATCTGTCCATCTTTTCTATCATGATGTCCCTCTTTTCTAGGAGATCCATATTGTTGGTGTTTTTCATTGCATAACGGAGCTCCACAGCAATAATATTCACAGTAATCTGCCTTTAACCCCTTAAGGACACATGACATGTGATTCCCTTTTATTCCAGAAGTTTGGTCCTTAAGGGGTTAAGCTACAATAAATGTGTTAAGAAATCAGTCCGAATAAATGAAAAAAAAAAAATAGAATCCAGTCAGTCATTCTCATTTATATTTTAGTTGCATAAATCATTAAGTCACCTAAAAGTTCTCAGGACAGCAGCGCCCCTGGCCACACTCCACCCATGGCATGACTCCCAAATGCGTCAATTTTCACAGCAGGGTTTTTAACTGTCCCCAAAGAGTGTAGCCCAAGCTCACAATACACACAGGGCACTAGGACCCTGCAGAGAGCACTGAAACACTACTTCCTGCATGTCCAGCCCTCAGTCTGGATTGATTTATTAACAGGGAGCCTTGTGTGCAACTTGACAATAATTCAGGACCCCCCCACTAAGAGCCCAGTGACAAAAACCATTTGCTATTGGCTGTGTGCAAAAATCTGACGTGGGACAGTTCTTCAATGTGTTATCTTGAACATAAAAAGTACGAACTTCACACATCTACAATTTTAATCATGCTGTAATGGGAGATAATGAACGGTCTCTATATCTCTAGCTGAAAACATACTGCAGAGTCCAAGTAAATGTTTGTGAGTGACATGCCTCCCCCCTCAGTCCTTACACTGGCTTCCAGTAAGATTTAGGACTCAATTAAAAAAAATTCTTGTGCTTGCATACTAATCTCTACATTACGCTGCTCGTACCTGCCTATCCTCACTATACAAACATGTGCTGTTCAGGCCCCTACACTCTGTCAAAGATCTGTATCTATCCTCTATTCCCACTCGCACCTCTGACGCTCATTTTCAAGACTTCTCAAGGTCTGCGCCTTTCCTATGGAGCTCCCTTGCCTGCTCCGTTAGACTCTCACCCAACTCTGTTCCTTCAAAAGATCATTTAAAAATCAATTATTTAGAAAAGCATATCCATTAAATGGTAAATAGCTTTCCCTCCCGCGCACCATAGTAATCAATTTTGCTTTGTTTCCTGCAACAGTGTCGTTCAAAGAAACTAACCCTTCACTGTAAACGATTATAGAAACCTCATTTTTCCCATAACTGAAATACATCCTGCCCTTACCTCTTGTGCCACTTTGCCCTCTCGCTCTAGAATGTAAGCTCATTTGTGCATGTCCCTCAACACCCTCATGTCTGTTAGCCTACCTACTGTACAGTGCTGCAGAATTTGTTGGTGCATTATAAATAATAATAGCAATACAGAGGCAGAGAGAGGCTACCTTTTGGAAATTAATCCAATAGCATAATGTGTTTTATGCCATCCTGGCACTAACCAAAAATCTAATTTCCTAATTGGTAGGTTATATGGAAAGACATACCATATAAAATTACCATATAAATACCAATAATAATACCGTGCTATTAACCAAACCCCTATGGTGCTGCATGCGCACATGGCTCTCCTGTACTCATATGGCACTTCCCTGCAGATGCCCAGTGCATCATGTGGTGTTGTCGTTGCGTTGTTAGACAATGCAGAGTATGAGGGATGCTTGTATCTCTTTCAACTTATCTCTGCTGCACTACTCACTCTAGTAAGCACTGCTAACCAGTGACAAACCCCAGAGAATGGATAGCTCGACTTTAATCTGCTCTCCCATACACTAGCTACACACACACACACACACACAATTATAGGCTCATACATATAAGATTAGGCAACCACTTACACATATAGACTTAAATGCAGAGCTAGCCAGTTAAAAAAAAACTATTTGAATTTAGTGTAGTCTAAACCTTTTTGCTTTTTTTAATCTTCCACTTTACTACTAACCTGCCAAGTAATCGCATAAGCCGTATTTCTCACCAACTAACTGGAGGTCTTAACAAGAACTATTTTAGGCTTCCAGTTCACCAATCAGTATGATGCATTGTGGGATAAAGGGTGACATTCCAATCATGCCAGAAGTTACTTTATGCATTTTATACAATTTCTCCAGCCCTACAGAATTTCTATAACCGTTTCCCTACGTTGGCTGACAGGTCAGATGATACAGTTCAACAAGAAACACAATCTCACTTTGGTATATGTAACATGTTAAACAATTTTTATTTTTTTAAAATAAATAGTCTACTTGTCCAAATTAGCTGCTTTAACTGTGATTAATCAAATATGATTAGCCTTTTCCCAGCAGAGTTCAAACAGATTCTTGAAATTCTAGAATGTCAGTGGTATTCTAATATTTCAAGAATCCTCAGGGTCCCGCAGGACTTGCTGGGAACCCAGTGGAGAGGACAGATGACACTGAAGATCCCCAGGTAAAGCGGTCTGTGTTTTGTATATTTTAAATTATGCAATGAGTCTCTTATTATTTATATTGAGCACTGTCAACAGGTGCTATTTCCAGAGGCTAAAATGATACAGTGGAGCTTTGTCAATAATCCATTAACCATCTAAAAAGCAATGACTGTGTTATATATAATTAAACTGTATGTTTCACCCTGGCAAAAATGTCAGACTCACTTGATCTAAGGCAGGGGTTCCCAATTAATTTTTCCCGTGGAGCCCTTTGATATAGTATACCAACATCGTGGAACCCTGAAAAAATTTTTTGCGTCGTAGCACAAACATTTTAATAATTGGCCTTTTATTATCATTTTCAAATATTTTGCTCAAACTGTTTGGTCTTCTGATACTACTGAAGCTTTCGCTTAAAAAGAGGCAATGTCTTTATCTTTGTACTCTGGGTGGTTTTGCTCAAAATGACGACGTAATTTAGCAGGTGCCAACAAACTGTTTGGCAATATTTTCTAGCAAACTAAGCACTGTGCTTGAATTATATTTTTATTTATGGCACTTGTGAATCCAAAGGACAAGTAGCGGTCATCATATTTTGTTTTCTTTGAGAAGATGATTGGGTAGCATTGTGTGCTTTTCTTTTTTTCTTTGATTTGTCACTTTTCTCTGCTACTTGAACAGTAGATTCAACTCTTTTGGACTTGTTTTCTTGTTGTATCGTCTTCTCAGTTTCTAAAATTGTCAAACAATTAGTAGTAATCCTTTTTCTCTTCATAGTTCCTTGTTTTTACCAGTTGTCCAAATTCATGGTTGTTGGTTGGTAAAAAAATAAAAAGACCCCACTACCTGACTGCAATGGATGCTGTTTTTTTTATCTTGCGCTCAGAAAAAACTTAATGTAAGAAGGATTTTAAATCAGTCTTGGAGCAAAAAAATTAGAACACTTAAACAGGTCTCACTACCTGACTGCAAAGGATGCTGTTTTTTTTTTTTTGGGGGGGGGGGTTTGTTTGTTTTTATAAAGCTCTTAGAAAGAAATGAACATAATCAGGACTTTTGTTTAATCGCAGAGTAAAGAGAACACTTTACTACCAAAGGATGCTTTAATTTACTTTACTACCAAAGGACGCTTGCTTTGTTAACAGCTCTTAGAATTAAAATTTTTTGGTTTATGAGGGGCGGAGCTAGCATCCGACGGCAACGGTCGCTCTCTGCATGAGCTCCGATAAACGGGCACGAAAAACACCCTAATCCTGCCGAACATAGGGGTACAACACCCCCCAACAAGCCCCGGACAACTCTCCTTACGATGGGGAGAAAAACCAAAAAGCCCCGTCCGGATCGACCGAGATTCTGTGCCGATATCGGCGACCTCCTGAGGGGACCGCATGGCGTGGGGAGGACTGACATGGCGGCGGACATGGGAGACTTCTCAGACGACTCGGCTGACTACTCCCTCCACGACACAGAAGAGAGTGGAATTAACCCTACAACATCTGCCCAGCCAGCAGCCAAAGGGTCAGAACCTCTCACCACAGGGATACTTACCGGCCTCCTGGCGGATCTCCGTCACAGCCTCTCCTCAGAAATCTCCCAGGTGAGAGAAGACCTCAAGGGGTTCAATGGGCGCCTAAATATAATAGAGCAGACAGCCACAACACATGCAGCCCACATCCAAGGTCTGCAGAATCAGATTGCCACTCTCACTGCAGCTCACACCACTCTGAGCCACCAACTAGCAGCAATGGAGGACAAGAGAAGGTGGAAACACCTTAAGATCAGGGGCCTCATGGACACTATCACACAAGCAGAACTACCCCACTGCCTGCGCAGACTCTTCACAGCACTGTTGACACCCAAACAGGCAAAAGGCATCACACTAGAGGGGATGTTTTGGCTCCCAAAGCCTCCTGCAGCTGCGGCCTCCAACACCAGCGACCTACTGGTCAAATTCCAAAATGGCCAAGATAAGGCAGCCATCTTGAAAGCAGTGAGGGGGAAACCCCCATTCCACTTTGAGGATATGGACGTTACCTTCTACTCAGATCTCTCTCGACCGACGCTTCAGTGGCGGAAGACGCTACGACCCCTCACATCCATACTATCAACGAACGGAATCAAGTACCGATGGGGCCCAACACACACGCTCATTATCCAGCACCAAAACACGGAGATCAAGGTAGCGGAGGCATCGCAGATAGAGGCAACCCTGACCAATCTGGGCCTGAACCACGCAGCAACGCCGGCACCGACAACATGGGACCTGGCCAACTCTGTCCCGTTCATCCCGGCAAATCGGAACCTACCCAACCGTGCAACCACGTGACTCTGGACATTACATTTTTTCATTTATATAGCTGCCTTTATATATGGTTACTTAACCTCTTGGGATTCTTTATTTTTATCGTTTTTATCGTTTTTAGTTTTATTTTTTCCCTCGTATTGTGAGGCACAGGCACCTCATAGGGCCAGCCTCACGTTGAGAAACCGTAGATGCAGCATAAGTTATGCCGTGGGTATTGTACCCTCTTTGTTTGTTTTTTCTTTTTTGTTTGTTGTTGTTTATGTTACATACACCGCTTAGACACCGCGCAACATACCACACCATGCACTAACAGCGGGTCACACCCATCTCCGCCACCTCCCAGACCTAAACAAGTCGTAACTCAGAAACATTAGCTCCTTAACGAACACCTTACCCCCCCAGCTCCGCGCTAGGAACCACTTACACTTACTCTACCAAAGCGGAGCTGTGCCCACTCAGCACCCAACCCGCCATAGAAATATATCGCATTTTCTCTCACTTTTTGAAACCACAGAGCCATACATGTCCCAGACTCCTACACTAACCACAACCATCGCTAAAGACATGACCATGGCAGTAACAAGCTACATTACCATAAAACAAAATACCACAGCCAACATCGCTATCCCACCAATGTATGCAGAAGAGTAAAAACAGTGATATGCTTCATTGAATGTATTACATGCAATATATATATATCTTGTTGACTGTGACAAAATAAAGAATTTAAAAAAACAAAAAAACATTTTTTGGTTTATCACAGATTTCTACTGATGCAGAAAAATTAAAATACAAATATTTAAATAAAATTATATTTAAATAAGTAAAAATAAAAAATGATTTTAAAATTGCCAAAATCATGTATACTCTCATTTCACTCTAACAAGTTAGAATAAATTGCAGCTACTCCCATGAACACTATATGTCACTATGAAAGCAAGCCTCACTTCAACCAAAAGTCAAACCCCTGCTCTTGTGAGAATAGGGAACTACATGGAGTATTTATCAAAATAAATTCGATATTGGATCAATATGCCAAGTCAGTGTAAGGCAGCTTAACACGAGTGGAGAGAGGAATGGGAGAATACAGGGAGGAAAGAGAAGTGAAGGAATACTGGAGGAGAGAGTAGTGGAGGAATACAGGGAGGAAAGGAGTAGAGGAATCCTGGGAGGAGAGAAGAGTTAATGAATGCTGGGAGGAGAGAGGAATGAAGGAATACTGGGCTGGGAGGAATTCCTACCTTAAATGACGCTGGGCAAGCAGACACCGGACAGGCATGCATAAGTGTGGAACAATCTCGAGATCTCTTTATAAGATTGCGACCGCGCGATCTCTGCTGTTTCCGACCTTCCAGGAACAGCAGGGAGCGGCGGCCATCTTGGATGGGGCACTTCATGGCGGAACCCCAATTTTGTTCTCGCACAACCCTAGGGTTCCGCAGAACACCAATTGGGAAACACTGATCCAAGGTAATATACCATTAAATAAAGGCAACTGCATTATTTAAATACGATGTGGCTCATGTAAATAAAACAAATGAAAGAAACCTCATAGGTCAGAGACCTTCCTGACATTTTGATTTATTCTTTGTTAGCATTTTTTCATCTAGATAAGACACTTAAAAAAAAAAATGATTATTGCTTTGACTGATTGATTACACATTGTTCTCTCTCTGAAATAGTGCTTACATTTCATAAACAGGGTTTCAATGATGACTTGGTCACCTGACAAGTATTAAAGAGACACCATAGGCACCAAAACAACTTTAGCTTAATGAAACCGTTTTGGAATATAGATCATCCCCCTGCAGTCTCACTGCTTAATCTGCCCTTTAGGAGTTTATGCAGCCCTAGTCACAACCCCCTACATGTGATTTGCACAGCCTTCCTAAACACTTTCTGTAAAGTGAGATCTAATGTTTACACTTCCTTTATGGCACAGTCAGTTTAACTTAGAGTTTGTTCTCTGCTGCTCTGTTAACTTGCCAGATCTTGCAGCAGTCTCCTGTGTGTGATTAAACTTCAATCTACAAAGAAGATAAAAACTTCTAAAGTAAGTTAACATTGAATTGAAAGTGAACATTTATTTCATGCAGGCTGTGTCAGTCACATCCAGGGGAGGTGTGGCTAAGGCAGCATAAAGAGAAACAAAAGCGATTTAACTCCTAAATAGCAAAGAATTAAACAGCGAGACTTCAGAGGCATGATCTATAAACCCAAACTGCTTTATTAAGCTAAAGTTATTTTGGTGCCTATAGTGTCGTCTTAAGAAAATGCTTGCAGAAAAGAAGAGAGAGGATATACATCCCTAGGACTTCAAATTTTAAGCCCTGATTGTGGCACCTACCAAGACAGATAGTAGCCATATCAAGAAACATAATGAAAATTCTTCAAACCAGAAGCAAAATATATCAACTTTATGAATGAACTTGCTTCAGTGATTGCCAAGATCTAAAAGACCTTAAACATTGCATTTGTTTTGTTACACTGAAGCCAAACAAAAGAAGAAGTAATGATACTTGCCTGTCATCTTTGTTAATTTGGTCTCCAAATCCTACAGTGTCCACTATTGTCAGCTTCAGATGCACATTACTCTCATGGAGTTCATATGTACGTGGTCTCAAGTGAACACCATTCTCATAGTGACTAGCTTCATCGGTCTCAAATGTGGTGTTAAAGAGAGTGTTCATGAGTGTTGACTTTCCAATGCCAGTTTCACCTAGTAGGGGGGAAAATGTTTTTTGTAAAAAACACCATTGCAGAAAAGGCAATACATACACTACTGGAATGTCCTTATTTTGCCCACAAAAACCAAGACAAATTCGGGATTTAGGATGACACCATATTGTTAAGTGGTGATCAATAGTGATGTCCTGAACGGTTTCGCCGCGGACTCATCATTGAGTAAACTTTGACCCTGCACCTCACAGTCAGCAGACACATTCCAGCCAATCAGCAGCAGACCCTCCCACCTCCTGGACAGCTCACTAAGAATGCAGCTTCAAAATGGATGCTGTCCAGAAGGTGGGAAGGTCTGGGAGGGAGGGTCTGCTGCTGATTGGCTGGAATGTGTGTGCTGACTGTGAGGTACAGGGTCAAAGTTTACTCAATGATGAGTCCGCGGCGAACCGTTCGGGACATCACTAGCGATCAACAGTTAGAAGATAAAGGAGTATTCAAAGAACCATGGCTACTGCAGATGTTTGTAATGGTTGTCATGCTAAATAGTCTGAAGGCACCAACCCCCATGCAGTTTATGTCAAACTAATTTTGTAGAGGTTTAACACACACAAAAAAAAGTCTCTCTTAGGGTTAGTCGATGGCGTTAGTGACGCCAAGGATGTGTGGGCACATGGACCTCATTACACACTACAGGATTTAAGCATTTCTACAAGTCCCTTTCATCTGTGATTCTAACAAAACATGGACCATTGCGGTGTCTTGAGGATGGGATTGGGAAACACTACACTAGTGTGTGCAAACAGATTTGTTGCTTTACAATATTACAATTCAAAAGAGGAATCGAATAGCTTTTATTAAAGGCATGCAATGTCTCTGCCCACATTGAACGTCAGTATAAACAACTTGGTTTATATCGTAGTGGATTCTACTAAGACCCAACTTTTTTTTATTCTGAACAGAAGTAGCTTTACAAAAGCTCAGAACTTTCAAAATTTGGATACAAATGATTGTACATCCTGGCAGAATATGTCTGAACTTTACATATAACCACCACCAAGTAAACAGGACATCCAGAGGTGCACCTGATCGTACCATTTTTAACAAATTGGAACCACTGGCAACTAAAATCCCAGAGGATTTCTAATAATATACTTTGAGATATATATGGAGCAATAAGATAAGTTGTGTTTTTCTTGTGGTCACAACAATAACATTTATTCTCATTTTTATTCTTACGTTATCACTATTGTTGTTCCTGTATCAGCTAGCTCCTGGAGTTATCCACACCATCTGGATCCGCTGGATCCAGAGATATGCTGATTTTTAAGCAGAGTCTTAAAGAACTACTACACTTGAGAGGAGCCACATCCCTTCTACATGTTGAAATTTCCATGCCGATATTCTCATGATGGGCTTGCCTATATCCAGGTTGTGCAATTTATTATCAGCAGGTTGATTTATGCATGATATTACTCTCAGTTGGAAGGAACGAACACTATGGGACAGGAGATGGGGGCTTGGGGAGGAGAGAAGAAAAAAAAGACACTATTAGACAGGAAGGGGGAGAAGGAAAGACACTGAGACAGGGGTGGAGGGGAGAAGGAAAAAAACACTATGGGACGGGGAGAGGGGGGAGAAGGAAAACACTATGGGACGGGGAGAGGGGGGAGAAGGAAAACACTATGGGACGGGGAGAGGAAAACACTATGGGACAGGGAGAGAGGGAAGAAAACACTATAGGGCAGAGGAGAGAGAGGGAGAAAGGAAAACACTATGGGGCCAGGAGAGAGGGAGAAGAAAAGCTTACACTATGGGGCGAGGAGAGGAGGGAGAAGGGAAAACACTATGGGAGAGAGAGGGAGAAGGAAAACACTATGGGGCAGGGGAGAGGGAGGGAGAAGGAAAACTTACACTATGGGGCGGGGAGAGAGGGGGAGAAGAAAACACTATATATAGGACGGAGAGAGGGAGAAAGGAAAACACACTATGGGATGGGAGAGAGGAAAGGAAAAAACTATGGGATGGGGAGAGGGGGGAGAAGGAAAACACTATGGGACGGGGAGAGGAGGGAGAAGGAAAACACTATGGGACGGGGAGAGGGGGGAGAAGGAAAACACTTTTTCCTTTTCCCCGTCCCTTAGTGTTTTTTTCCTTCTCCCTGTCCCAAAAACACTAAGGGACAGGGAGAAGGAAAGAACACTGAGACGAGGGGGGGGGAAAGAAGGAAAGAACTCTATGGACGGGGAGGGGAGGGGGAAAGAAGGAAAGAACTCTATGGACAGGGGAGGGGAGGGGGAAAGAAGGAAAGAACACTGGCATGGGGTGTGAACACTATGGGACAGGGGGTGAACACTATGGGACAGGGGAGGGGAGGGAAGAGGAACACTGGGGTAGGGGGGGGGGGACCACTAAAAGAGAAGAGAGAAACATTAAGGTGAATGGATGGGCACTAAGACAGGTAACACACACACTGCATTTACTATTCAAATAGTCACTGCATTCACTACACACAAACACAAATATTCTTGAAAACATAAAACAAAATCTGACTGGCAGGTATATGTTGTGCATTTACCACAAAAAAAAAGAAAAAGATTTGCAGTAAAAAGTTTTTTTTAATAATCATGTTCAGTTAACAGTAGATTTGTGTAGAAATTTTCTTTTTTTCAAAATGGTTAATGTACAGAATATCGGTAAACTATCGGCTATCTGCCTAAAAGTTTCCAGATTATCGGTATCGGCTCTAAAATAATAAAAACAAAACAATATCGGTCGATCCCTAATATATTCGCTCTGTTTCTACAACAATAATACAATAATAGGTGGAACATAAATAGGTTTTATGACTAGGATATAAATTAACCCTTCCATAAATGCAGAAACAAATTCTCAATTCTTACTAAATACATCAGACCGAAAAGCAACTTACCCACGCACAGGATGTTGAAGCAGAACCCCTGGGTGACAGATTTACTAACAAGCTGATCTGGAAGGCTGTCGAACCCCACGTGGCCTCCCAAAGCGAGCATGCGTTTGTCTTCATCCTAATATAGGATAGACCAAAGAGGGAGAAATTAATTCAAATTCACTCATAGTAAAAAAGTTTATATATTATAAAAAATTAAATAAAAAAACCAAAACAAAAAAAAAAACACACAACTACAACACAAGACACTTAACAGCAAATCATGGTACTAGGAAAGTGTTAGTTACCATATTAGTGAGATACACAAGCAGACACTGGCTATGTACACTAGAAGCTCAAAGACCCCATCCAGAGTTCCTGCTCTGTTTTGATATGCTACATTCCAGACATACTAGTAATTACAAGAGAGACATCAGCAGGAAAAATCTGATCTTTAGTGCAGATCTTAAAGAGACAGCCTGCAGAGCGCTTAAATTAGAAAAGGGCTTGCAGTTTAGCAATTTGGATGAAACACGACAAAACCCTAAAAAAACAAAAAAAAACAAAAAAAAACAAGAAGATAGGAGAGAGAGATCTGAACAAATTTACTTTTACTGAATGAAATTATGTGCATTATTTTTATTGTATTTGTGAGGGTATAGTTTGACCACTCTATATCAAACCCAAGAGAATATTCAGAATCAAGTTTGAATCCTGCAGAATCAAATATATATGCACAATCAAGGTTGAACCATCACTTCTCCGTAAATAATACAGTTGACTCACAAAAACATTGTAATCACCTTTATAAACATTTTCCAATAATGTAAAAATTGATTCTAAAAGAACATCAAATATTTAGCAGTAAAACACGCTTATGTAGATCTGGGGGTGGGAGTGTTCCTATAAATTGTTGTGGGCATAGGAGGTGTAATTTAACTTCAGAGGTTAAATAGTCTTGCAATGGGTTAACAATGAAGTTGGGGCACCAATGCCCAGCACTCCTGCCTCCATGCTCACTTCCTCTTCGCAGTATGAGGAAGGTTTGAGCCAAGCTGCCACTGACCAGTTAAGAGCGCCCATAAGAGGATTAGATAATGCGTAGTTCAACACTGCCAAGAGTCTCATTCATGACAAATGCAGCCCAAACAGACAGAAGTAGCTGCTGCCTGATCAGCTTACCAATAGCTCAAGTCATACTTATCTCATGAATGGAGCTATAGGCACATCACAGATAACTTTTATCTGTAATAGAGCTAGTGAAGGAGCCAGTTGGAGATGGTGACAATGTGTATGAAGTGTTCATGTGCATAACCAGTTAGGAGAAATAGTTCACCTTGTGACATATTTGATTAAAAAGGGGTTTGCAGTTAGACCAATATTAAACAGATCATTGCAGTTCATAGACGCCATAAAAAAAAATCCCCCCCAAAAAATAATCAAATTTTAGGCCAAGACAGACAAAGTGGAAAAAACCTCCAAGTTTCCTAGAAAGACCAAAGAGGATAAGCTGCTATCGGCTTGGATTGTCCCTTTAATACTGCACTACTCCAAAAGGATTACAAAATTAAGGAACCTATTTTGTGAATTCTATGATTGTTAGCAAGCTGTTGCTATGCTTTTTTCTCAAAATAGTTAAAAAAATAAATAAAATAAAAAAGCAAAACTGTACAAGAAAACACTACGCAGCGTGACAATAAAAAAATCTGCAAATGTGACGGTAACAAACTGAGTTATTTATAAAGAAAAGGGTAGGGGTAACTATCTAGGTGTGGAGCAGAGACAACGAAAGTCAGTTTTATTAATTTCTTTTTAAAGCCCCTTATGCCCCCTCATGTTTGTGTTTCATAAAAGGAGTTGTCCAATATGTCACAAGTCTACTTTAACATAAGAGGGAATGTTACTTCGTAAAAGGTTCACTGGTTGCAATGTTGGGGAAAATTTAGTATGAGCCGAAGAATGTGGCTGTAATACTTTATATTTATTGTAGGTTGTAAATCTCATACGTGTACTTTCAGGGGGCATTCATGGAACTATTTAGTGGTTATGGTGCCTTCACACCTGCCAACTGATCTAGAAGGCATTTCTGCCATTCCAGAACTTTTTTCTCTGGTATCCTGAGAAGTTGTGCAAAATCCATCCAAAACTTCAAAGTGTATAATGATCAATGTAATTTTGCTGTGCCAGGTTAGTGAAGGACATTTTTGGCAGCATTCCACGTACAGGCTGCCTGGCATTAGACGGATATAAACCATTGCCACCATACGTTACTAATAACGCATTGCATCCCTGGCACATCCACACCAATACTATACAGCCTAATGTGGAGATGTTAAAATCAGATGGACCCTTTTTCTAATACTAGTATTTAAAAATAGCTGGAGCATTTTTAAAAACATTGTCATGAGTTAAATCATGCTGGGTTATTGTATATCAACTGGCTAGAGTTGCATGAAAAGTAATCATTCTAACAAAACATGTAAATGAGTCTCACTTCGGTGAATATCCTATTCAGTAGGTCTACAGACATATTGTGAGAAAATACGGTCTATAATGGTCTAAATAGAGAGCTTATTTGTAAAGACAAAGGGATTTGCGTCTATACAGAATGCTAAACCTTGGGCTTTTGTCACCGAGTGTCATCTGTATAATGTAACAAAACGTTATCCACATGTTATCTACTTAAAGGGACACTGTAGGCACCAGACGCACTGCAGCTTAATGTAGTGGTTCTGTGTTAAAGAGACTATCACTACAGTTTCAGCAATGCAAACAGAGTTCTCTGAGAAAAGGCAGCATTTAGATGGCTGCCTAATGACACCTCTACAGGCTGTCACTGGGGTTTCCTGGATGCAGAACTTCAAAGATTTCAGGGCCAATTTTAGCAGCTCCACAGTTTGCATGGAGATGTGGAACACTCCCCACAGAGATATATTGAGTAAATGCGTTTCTATGAGGAGGTGCAACAGGGCAATTGTTGCACGCTTTCTCTCCAATTCTCCCTGTGGAAGTGGAGGAATAGCTGCAAGTAAAAAGCTTTATTTTGCTCAATTAAGGGGGAGGGGGGAACCGATATAGATAGACAGATATTTTGTATAATACTCATACATTAGGAATACAAACATGTATACCTAACACTAGAAGTTGATAAATAAAAACGTTCTCATTTTCATATTAGAGCATTTAACCATGGATGGATTAATTCACATGATTTGAGTTCCGCTCTCTGCACGGTTTGGTACCTAGACACCACGTGAATCCAATTAACAGTGTGATGATATCCAGAATAAAGATCCAGATATCCAGAATCTCTGACATTTGTTTAAACTCTGAATACCGAGCCAAAGCAATACAGAGTCAACACAATATTCTTAAAAGCCGTAACCACATTAAAAAAGAGCAGGCTAAGCAACACAGTAATTACACCATACTAGTAGTTATGGTGCCAGGAGTCCCTAGTGTTGTCTCACATTAAGGTGTAAAGCAGTTTTCAAACCATCTACCCCCTTGATGCCCACAGTGGTGCCCTTTATCTAAGGATTAAATAAAAGTTTCCCTTCCATAGTAGAAATATCAATTTCATCCTGGTTTGGATGGACTTCATTGGTTAAGAATATCAGCTGTCACTCTCCACGAATTAATTCTGTCTAAGGACAAGCAGAATGGATGCTACTAATGCAGAATTAGGGACTTTTGCGTTAGTTGTACCTAAAGAGGAGGCTGAACTGTTGGTTTGCCCAAGGACCAAAAAGTGTCACACCATTCAAAAATGGTTTTATTCCTTACCATTGCATGGCACCATGAGGTTTCTGGAACCAGAACTCTAAACATGACTAACAACTCATTGCCATGTTGATGGTGCAAAAAACAAAAACAAAACTACTGTTGTAATCGGAGAGATTCCTTCCAAAAAATGTATCAATTTCAAGAGATGGAAAACAGCTAGTTATAAAACTGCACTCATTGTGCGGTGTGCTAAAATTTGTGTTCATAGAAGATCAATTTAGAAAGGAAATGAAATCTGCAGGACATACTATTACATCATAACATCTACAGGAACACGTTCACTTTACAAAACATTCAAAATCTACGAAAGCTTTAAAGTGGCATTGTCGTCTGGGGACTTTGCAGAATTAGCAAAGACGCCTGACGGAGATATCGCCACTAGTGGTCCGGTGGAGGCAAATGTGAGTTCTCCTTACCTGAACATGTACCCATGCGTGGTAGGGGAGGGGGGAGACAGTTCTAGACAGCCAGTATCTAAAAAGGTGTCAGGTGTAGTAAACAGAGAGAAAGTAGTCCCAAATTTGTCTGTATATCTCTTGACTGGGTTGAAATTAAATGAAATTCCAACATAGCCAAGGAGTACTTCTCAAAAAGAGTTTATCTTTACGAAATACTTGTTTTTCAGGGGACTGGGTGTGTGACCGTGTCGCTTTAAAAACCCAGCCTGGCTATATAAACTCAATCTACGGTAATCTTCCAAGTAGAAAGGCTAGAAAACAAATATTAAACTCTACTCTTAGCATAGGAGTTGCTTGAAGTCCTGCTGTGCTACACAACTGAAATTTGGAAGGCAAAGTCTCTGTCTATGCTAGAATGCACTATGCATACATTGTGCCTATGGCAAATTTACGAGTAGGCTTGAGCTAGCCTACTCATAAAGCATTCTTTTCTTTCATGTTTGGAGGCAGCATCCTTCAATGTCAATCAAGGTCAAGAGCATTATGCCTACAAATACAGCATTTGTACAAAATCGCTATTTAAATGCAAGTAAAGCAGCTAATAAGCAACAGGACCTTTTACTTTTTTGAAAAATATTTACTTTTTTTGTTTATTTAAAACACCGCTTGGAATTTTAGATGGCAGCCCTGACCACAATTGGGAAACAGCAAATAGAACCATAATCATTACAATGACTTGTCTTTATTTACTGGCATAGAGTGTCAGCTCTCCAACAATGAACACTGTAAACTTTGTAGGATAATGTGGAAGTATAAATTTCTGCTTTATCTAACCAAGTCAAACCAGACCGACCGGGGGCCTCGACACAGCAAGTCAAGTCTCCAGTCATTTGTACAGTCCGACAGATTTACGTCAGATTGCACTCAAGAACTTTGAGCCACAGTGGTTATGGTGTTTAGAACACCCCATTATTTAGAACCAAGCAAGGATAATATGACATGTTTATAGTTTTATTTGTGTGGTTATTATACATACACACTGTAGGTTTACTGTATATGGTCTGTGATCTAAGTAGGCCCGATTTACTTGTACAGTAGCGCTGCTTGTTAGTAGGGATCAACCGATATTGATTTATTTAGAGCTGATACCGATACTCTGAACTTTCAGGCCGATAACTTACCGATATTCTGTACATTTACCATTTTGAAAAAAAGTAAACTATTTCTAAAAGTAAATGCACAAAATATACATGCCACATGTAGTGGATGCACTGTGTTTAGACAGGGGATCTGTGAATCTTTATGTAGTGTGCGTAAAGGGAATGCAGAGTGTGTGTGTTAGTGTAGTGTGTGTATATAATGAATGCAGAGTGTGCGCGTGTGTGCGTATATAATGAATGCAGAGTGTGCGCGTATATAATGAATGCAGAGTGTGCGCGTATATAATGAATGCAGAGTGTGCGCGTATATAACGAATGCAGAGTGTGCGCGTATATAACAAATGCAGAGTGTGCGCGTATATAACGAATGCAGAGTGTGCGCGTATATAACGAATGCAGAGTGTGCGCGTATATAACGAATGCAGAGTGTGCGCGTATATAACGAATGCAGAGTGTGCGCTTATATAATGAATGCAGAATGTGCGGCAGACCTGGTATGTATTATCGGCAATATCGGTATCTATTTGCCAATACCGATATTGCCAAAAAATACCGAATATCGGCAAGACCGATGATGGGTCGATCCCTACTTGTTAGTCTGTTACATTTTGCGCTTTTTAAAAACAAATGTGTGTTTCAGCAACAGTTCCAAATCACACATATATTCTGCCACTGGAGAAGTAACATTAAAAAAATTAAATAAAAATTAAATAAATAAAAACACACACACACACACACACACACACACACACACACTTATTTTTTTAGAAGGACGTTTAAGAACTATGAAACTACAGAGCAAGGTTAAATATTTTATCTATTAAGGACACAACAGTAAGATGTGCACTACTAGGTGCACTATATGACTTACAGTCTCAATCAGTCATAAAAATATGACATGCCAAATGCCTAACAAGCAATAATGGGAGTGGCCTGAAAATTGGTTAATTTAAGATCTATTTATTGTGGTGACCAATGTAAATAGAAGGGTACCCCATGTTGAATAAAACAGCTCCAATTTTTTAAAGTCATAGCTGGAGAAAAATAAATATATTTCACGTTTGCTTTTCTTTATTTCTTGCCAATGTGGTTTGATTCCATTCTTTGGCAGGTACCCACACATTCTATTATTTAACTAGTGTAAACCCAAATGAACCAATGGAAAATTAATTGGAATATACAGGCTGAAATAAAATGGGAGTTGTTCCCTAGCAACAGAAAAGCTACAGCTCTGATTTTATGGCAGCTGTGCATAATACATAAATAAATACAGCCAAAAATCTACTGCAGTCAGTACTGATCACAGGAAACTGTGCTTCTTCATCCATAAACATCTGGCTGCCAAGTGATAAAATGTTCCAGCAACCTTGAGGTTAAATATTCTATGGTCAGGCACACTGCGTTCCTCCTGAAGGCACTGTATTAGATATTTGACACTCCATAAAACCAACTATCTATAGCTGGCTCTCAAACCAGTTTGCATTTCTCAGAGTACATTCAACTTAACCTCTAAAGGGGACACTAGGCACCAAAACAACTTTAGCTCAATGAAGAAATGTTGGTATATAGATTATGCCCCTGCAGTCTTCACTGCTAAATTCATTGCCATTTAGGAATTGAATCACTTTTGCTTCTGTTTATACAGACATAGCCATTGGCTGTGACTCACACAGCCTGCGTGGAAAAAAAAATAGTTTAAGTTTTCAATCAGACATTAACTTGCTTTAGAAGTTTGTAATCTCCTGCGCTGTAAAGTAAACTTTACTCACACACAGAAGTGTATCGTGGGTAAGTAACAGAGTGTGGCTAAGGTTTGTCATTTCTCCCCCTGCAGTCTTTTTTGATTTGTCAGTGTCTGAACAGAGTGACTGCAGCCACTTCATTACTATACCTAGCCAGTAGGGATCGACCGATATTGATTTTTTTTTTTTAGAGCCGATACAAATACTAATAATCTGTGAACTTTCAGGCCAATAGCCAATAACTTACAAATATTCTGTACATTTACCATTTTGAAACAAACTATTTCTAAAGGTAAATGCACAACATATACATGCCACATGTAGTGGATGCAGTGTGTTTAGACAGGGGAGCTGTGTGTGTGTGTGTGTGTGTGTGTGTGTGTGTGTGTGTGTGTGTGTAGTGGATGCAGTGTGTGTGTGTCGTGTGTATATAATGAATGCGGAGTGTGTTTGTGTAGTGTGCATAAAGTGAATGCAGTGCGTGGGTAGTGTGTGTATAGTGAATGCAGAGGGTTTGTGTAGTGTGTATATGAATGCAGAGTGTTTGTGTAGTGTGTGTATATGAATGCAGAGTGTTTGTGTAGTGTGTGTGTATATGAATGCAGAGTGTTTGTGTAGTGTGTGTATTTGAATGCAGAGTGTTTGTGTAGTGTGTGTATTTGAATGCAGAGTGTTTGTGTAGTGTGTGTGTGTATTTGAATGCAGAGTGTTTGTGTAGTGTGTGTGTATTTGAATGCAGAGTGTTTGTGTAGTGTGTGTGTATTTGAATGCAGAGTGTTTGTGTAGTGTGTGTGTGTATATGAATGCAGAGTGTTTATGTAGTGTGTGTATATAATGCAGGGTGTGTGTGTGTAGTGTGTAATGCAGAGTGTTTGTGTATATAATGCAGTGTGTATAGGAATGCAGTGTGTTTGTGTAGTTTGTGTATATAATGCAGAGTGTGTGTGTTTCTGTAGGTATGCAATTTGTGTAAAATGGGAGGAGGAAGGGGGACCTTTATTTTAATTTTTTAATGGACTGTGGAGAAAGGGGCCAAGCAAGCGCTTACCTTCCCAGCAGCTCCCCTGTGTAAATTTTGCGGCCTGTGTGCGGGACTCTCGAGATTTACACAGGGGAGCTGAAGGGAGCTGCTAGGAAGGTAAGTAAGCGCTTGCTTGGCCCCTCAGGACCGCCGTGCTTGTCATGAGCTAGGCGGTCCTGGTCTGTATTATTAGCAAAATCTGTATCTTTATTGACAGATACTGATATTGCCAAAAATACCAAATATCGGCCAGAGCGATAATTGGTCAATCCCTACTAGCCAATCTACACTCTGATCCCTGATTACCCTAAGGCAATATGGAATATTGAGTTTATTAAAGGAACATGTATTCCTGACCCTATAGTGCAAAACCCACCATTTGGGTGGCTTGCCCCTCTTTAGCCCCCTTAAAAGGAACTAAAACTCACCAAATTTCCAGCACCGCGCGGGTCCCCCGGCGCTGGCCCCGCCCTCTCAGTGACATCAGAATTGCCGATTTTATCACACAAAAAAAAGGAGGCTCATATTGCATATCCCTGTCCACCAATAGCAGCAACAGATACAAAAACAGAATGAAAAATAAACAATGAACATACAGTAGCATTGGCCCCTCCCTGCACAGGTCCCAGTATAATAGGCAGCACTTCCCTTCCATTTCCCTCTTTATTGTGCATCTTTCATTATGCCCAAACCCAGGATGCCGTCCAGCTCCCCACCCTCTGGGGAGATAGATACTCCACTATTCATGGGAGAGGCCCCTGTCACCACAGACATACCACCCACTCTGACAGACAGGCCCATCCACCCTGCAGGGTACCAATTCCCGGCGCTACAGCGCTCTGTGACAGATGCCATTATGGCAGCCATGGGATCCATGTCCTCTACCCTCTCCCATACTATCTCCCAGCACCTTCTGCCACGTCCTTTGGACGCGCAAATGTCTGGTTCCACGACGCCTATCTAGCGTCCTGCTGTGGACCCGCCTGGGGACGCACCCAAGAAGGCGACCCAAAAAACTAAACATCCCTCTGCCTCCAGAACTACTAAGACTGGCATACCTTCAGTCGCCCCAGAAAGCGTGCTCCACACACGCAAAAGAGCCTTTCCGCGCCAGGCAGAACGGGTGCAGCTATGGAAATGTGCCAGAGCACAACCCGAGAGTGACTCCGACTCAGAAATTGGGTCTGGTGAGGAGGCTATGATGGAGTCGGATGACGACTACGATGTTGATTCCGCTGAGCTGGGCCTTGATCTCCTTCCCTCTGCGCAGGCAGAGACGTCCGGAGGTGACACGGGGGCACCTCACCCCGCAACTGCGGGTTCCGCCCTCTTGGATTCGTTGGGCGAACCTCTCTTCGACCCAGAGGAGCTACACCATCTGAGGTGCTGCCTATTATACTGTGACCTGTGCAGGGAGGGGCCTATGCTACTGTATGTTCATTGTTTTTTCATTCTGTTTGTATGCTGCTATTGGTGAACAGTAAAGAAAGGGATATGCAATACTCGCCCCCGTGTCTTTAATAAAATCATGACTTTTCGTCATGTAACAGCAAAATCATGCAATTTTTAGCCAATCCACTGCTTTCCCATTGGCCGTTTTGGCCAAATCAGCACCTCCTCATAGGGATGCATTGAAAATTCAGCGTCCGCATGCAGAGCGTGGAGACGCTGAACGGCAGAGCCGCTTACTGTGCGTCACTGAGCCCGGAAGCACCTCCAGTGGCCATCTGAGGAGTGACCACTTGGAAGTGTCCCTAGGGCCAAATGTAAACACTGCCTTTTCTCTGAAAACAGTGTTTGCATGAAAATGCCTGCATACAATGATTATACTCACCAGAACAAGTACATTAAGCTGTAGTTGTTCTTGTGACTATAGTGTCTCTTTAAGCATTTGCAGATCTATGCAGTCTTGTTATTAAATGCATTAAACATTTGATTTGTATATAGGATCTTTAAAATGCTAACTTGCTATGACCAAATTATTTGTTGTTCTTTGAGGGGTTAAGGAAAGGGGCTGGCTGTCTCTAAATTCACACTGCCTACTAAACACACACAGAGTTGGAGGAGCTTACAGTCCAGTTCTTGACACCCAAACAGGAAAACACTGAATACACTAGAGTGGTAGAGGCAAAATGTATTCACAGACTTCATTTCACCAACAATGACATTCCATATAGTGAACAGTTTATTTATAGTGTCTACTACAATAGAATCACAGGTGTGAAGCCAAGGTCTAGCAGTGACAACAGCTCCCCACCATCTCTCTGGAACACTGTGTGTTTGTTCTTCAATCCTAAAAGGGACACTGTTGGCATGATAACCCTTTAATCTCATTGCATTGGTTATAGTGCCTTATTGATATTCCGTAGTATGGGAAATTTTTCAATGCGATGGTATAGCTAACATGGCATATGAAAGCCTTCATAATCTTTAGACATATGACAGCTCAGTCTGCAGCAAGCCCTTGCAGGATGAAAATGGATTTTGTTGGGGGGGCGGGGGCTGGGGGGTTTTGCGATCTGGATTTAAAAAAATAAATAAATAAATTATTATTTAAGAGAGTGTGGGATCATGCTTTTCCCCAGAATATTATTAGGGCCCCCACCCACTGCCATTTTCTAGGGGCCAGGGAGAGTACATTAGGCCCTCCCATCTGAATATTTTGATTGGAGTTCCCACCAAATGAGATGAAGCAGCAACAGTAAAAAACAATACTATAGTCACCACCTCTAAGTGGAGTTGCCACATATACCCCAGATATATTTTTGGAGTTTCTGTGGGGTTTCTAATTTTCAACCCGAAGGACAGCCAGTGCTTATGCAGGCCACTTAGAGCTATTCGGGAGATGGACATTGTGTTGGCCATCAATAGGTAAACCTATTGTGTCCGAGGGCATGAGCGGCTATTTTTGCCCACCAGTGGGGATCCGGCACCATGTTTTAGGTGGGCATGTATTTCACTTAAAGGGACACTGAAGGCACCTAGACCAGCTCATTGAAGTGGTCTCGGTACAGTGTCCCTTTTGCAGTTTCATAGAAGCTGTATTGTTTACATTGCAGCACTAAGTCTGCCTCCAGTTACGGTCTCCCAGACAGTAACTGGAGTCACTTCCTGCATCCAAACGGACCTGGTCCGGTATGAGATGCTGGACATCCTCCCACTCCACAGGAGGAGCTCCAGCGTCAGATTTTTATTTCCCTGTAGGAAAGCATTGATTCAGTTGCTTTCTTATGGGGAGGTCTAATGCGCCCACGGCATTTGCTACGCATGCGTGTTAGACCACGCTCGTCGGACAGAGCAGTGACCCAGTGCTGAGGGACATTGGTGCTGGGAAAAGGTACGTAAAAGGCTTTTAACCCTTTATTTACCATGGAGGGTGATTAACTGACTCTGGGTCCTGTTGCCCGGTGTTCTGTAAAATCACTTTGGAATGATTATAAAAAAATAAAATGAAAAAAAAAACAAAAACACAAAGGGCTTTCTCCAGCACCCATGTTTATCCAGTCCCCTTTAGAGCTGCATTGCTAATGTTGAACTAACATTTCTGCATTATTAGTACAAATCCATGCAAGAATAGGATAAAAGCGGGTTCTCCCAGGATCCTCCGCCAATCAGTGCGGTCTACAAGAACTATGGGAGACTATGGGTAGAGCTTCAGGTCCATAAACATTCCCGTGTATCTCGATGTTCAAAGCTCAACTACCAGCCAATCATCAAAATAATTTGTCTTTTTACCTTCAAGTTAGTATAGGTCTATAATTCAGGTCTTGCTTTTAAGATCTTCATGCAGAATGAGTTAATTTTTACAAACATTTTATTACACAAAGAGTGATTAATGCAGTATACAAGTCTGACGTTAAGTTAAAGAAAAATATATTGAACACAAAAACAATTGCTCTTGGACAAACCAGACAAGGGCGGCGGGTATTACGGGAGGTTATGGGAATGACTTTAGGAATGAAGGAACTGTTATCCCAGCTGGGAAGTTTCTATTCTTGACCTAGGTCAACAATGGGATGAGAAAAAGATGCCAAAATTCAACAAGAAGAGCAAAAAATATACATACACTATTCGGTGTAAAAATGAACAGGATAACAGCATAGCATTGTGGGATTAAAATGCTTGGGAAGCAATCAGGAGTGGTCCTCACTAAGAATTAGTAGCAAGAATGAATTCATGGGCGTTATATGTATAGCTCACATATATATATATACATAATACAGAGAGGCACAGAAACCTGCAACGCACCATGTATTGTCACACGGCCCCATTTTGTTACTTTGTATTGCATGATGTGCCACCTTGCATGATATACCCATTAAAACAATAGGCAGGAAATGGTATATACTAAAATATTAAACATCTGAGGATTACAATATCAAATGTGAAATACAATTTAAAAGGAGAAAGGGGTTTCTGAAATATTGGCAAAGTATCATCAGTGTTGCAGTTCCACTGGAGTAGTGGCTGACCAAATTGTCCTGAGAGAAGTGGAATTTGACCTCAGAGTAGGGGTGCCTATATGTTCTGTTGCATGTATTTATTTTCATACTTTGCTATGCAGAATGCAGTACAGAAGGCAAAGTGAAACAAATCTGGTTCTAGAATAAGATAACACGATCAAGTTAAATTCTTGCCCTCACTGATTATTTCTTTGCTAGATATTTTTTCATATTACAGTTCCCGGTCAGATCCGAGAAAAAGATGTCAAAACTCTCCTGAGCTGTTCTGGAATCAAAGTATTTGCGGTGAGAGACCAAATCCATGACACATTTTAGAATCTGAAGAATTTTCACAGGAAATAGATCCAGATTTTCCTGAGCCCAGCCCAGCAATGGCTTCAAGCCCCCTAGTCAAGTTTAAAATGTTATTAAAGTAATAATCAAAACGTCAGTCAAGGAGATATGCAATTTGAGCCGCAGGCCAGTAGGAGAACAAATAAATTAAAGCAGACATCTCCTGCATCCTTTATTCACTGCAGTTCTAGAGAGTGAATTATTAGAACATTACATGGAAACTTAGAATCCAGCTACTAGTTTTGTGAACTAAAACGATTTGTGACTTTTTTTATTCCTTAAAAAATTGTTGTTTTTTTAAATTAAACCTATACTAACGTGACGACACTAAGCACCATAACCACTGCACATTACCGTTTTGCAATTGATAAACAATGGGTGGTGAGGGTTCAACACTAATAGGGTTTTTCCACTAAAGCGAGAATTCAAAGTCAATTTAAAATTTAACACCAGAGTAACCAAACCGGAAGTATAGCTCACTTACAGATGTTTTCCAGTTTGGCTATTTTGACCTTCAAATGTTAAATTCACTTTGCAGGATTATTTACTGAATTGAGAATTCAAAGTGTTTTTTCCCCCTCGAAAGGTTTTGTTTAAAGGGCTCTTTAGGCACTATAAACACTACTGCAGTTATTAGGCTGCCATGAGTCCCAGGTACCTCTTACTGTCAAAAGATTTGTGAACAGTTTGACTCTTACCTGAGCCACCTGATGCTTGTGGTCTTTTTTTTATTTTTATAAAATATCACTAAAGCAAAAGTTCCTATTTTGAAGTTTTGTGCAAATGTTCACCTAATTCACTGGCCGATTCATAGCTTTAGTGGGTCATAAGGATCACTTGCCCAGTGTAGCCAAACCGTTTGATTCCTTAAGAAATAGCTATTGCACTTTTAAAATAAAAAAAATAAATAACAAAGCCATCTTTAAAATGTGACCGTTTCTAATTAAGGAGCAAATATGACAAAAGTAAAATATAAAGATATTTATAGAAGCACTATAAAATTTTGAATGCATCAAAGTTCCTTTATCAGTTTCAACTCAGATGTATTCTACCCAATAAAATAAATTTTAAATTGTATCATTTGCTCGCCAAATTCTCACAAATCAAACAGCTAACCTCAATTTAAACAGTCATTTTCCAGATGGACTATTTTGGCATTATCCCTTGTCAAATCTGTGCAACTCGCGGTTTTTAAGGAAACATTTCCCGACCCATGAATACCTGTTGCATGTACAGTTCTACCTAAAAGTACTTTCCTCAAAAATAACTAAAATAAAACTAATATTGCAGCAATAGTTACAGTATAATCACAAACCGATAATAAGCGAGTAGCTTAATTAAAGCATGCCAGCAGTAATTACTGTTTCGCAATGTTTTACCTGTTCAGCGCTAGACAGATGAGAAACAGTGGTTTACCTTATTATACTATGGTACTCAGTGGGTTTAACATGCCAGGAGCCCTTCCCCTCCTTATTTGAAGCCACCAATAATGAAAATTGTAAATACATACAATCAAAGTTGTTTGTTAAAGGAATGCTTTTTCTTTTACAAAGACATGTGATATGCATGTGTGTGGACACGTTATATCGGATAGCGTGATATGAGAAAGCAAGAATCTCTCTGACAAGACCATCCAGCGAGTAACACATGTCAGTTCTTAGATAAATAGCAGATCTCATATTTACACTTTAAGCATATTAATCAAAATTACAGTAATCACCAAATATTATTGTGCGTCAATGATAAAACTTGGTTCAGACTTTGGAATCTTGACATGACATACACAACACATGATCGGCACAATTCAATTCTGATCAGTGCTTTTTTGTGCACTGCTGTTATGACCGTACAGCTCAACCACGCTGTAGTGATAGATCCTGTCATATAAAAATTTGGAACTACTGCATATCTCCCAACATTCCCAAATCCAACAAGGCAGAAGTGATTTGTGACCACGCTCTTCCTATCCCAGGCATTTCCCCATAAAGCTGGTCATCAGCTACATGAGGACAATATGCAACAGTGTTTCTATAACATCCATTGGGCAGACTTGGTTGGCAGACTGGCGCTGGGCCGCCAAACCACTGTGGCCTTTCAACTTCCTCATCTTTGAAACTATGCTATTGCATAATTATCTTCCTTGTACACGTCAAACGCTGACTGGCGTGCTGCTTTAAAAGGACAGTCTCTTTATTCTGACTGACACGGTTTATTACAGCCCTATAGCTAATCTAAGTCACAATGATCTACAGGTCTCCAGTGATAAATGGACTGTACTATACATGATAGGTAGGGTGAGGATATGTATTTTTATAGTTGCACTGTACAGTGCTGTGGAATAGGTAGTGCTATATAAATGATTTTACTTAATAACGCAGACTGAAATCTAATAACATACGTTTTTGTACATCATTAATGAATTGCCTTTTGTTTCAATGGTGCGTCAAGGGTCAGTTAAAACAACTAAAACATGTGATGTGCGTGTGTGAGGGATTCTTCATATCTGATAACTAAAGCAATGTGAGAAAGCAGAGTAAAAGAATGTGCCTTGAGGGCCATATCATTTAATATATCTACATTCAAATAATCCGGATGGAAAAGCAGAAAGAATAGTCTCCTATCCCTAACATGGCCCACTCCAGATGTGTTCATAAAGGCAGACATATGATTCAAGATCCACCCATTAAATGCAGGGCTTTACCTTCAGTATTTGCATTGCTCGCTGCAGGCTTATAGTTGCAGGCTTTGGTTACTCTAGAGAGGGAACGTATGCTCTTAAAGGAACACTGCAGGCAACCAGCCACTTTGATGGATTGAAATAGTTATGGTTCCTATAGTGTGTGGTATTGGGTTCTGTAAACCGTTTACTCAACAGAGATGCTTGGTCCCTGGCAGCCTGCAGTGTGTCCTCCAGTTATGATATGATGAAGGAGGAGCTATGCTTCCATCATAGCAATTTATATCAAGGATAGGAGCAGTGATTGGCTGAGATCAATCGGCTTATCACTGACTGCTACCACAATTTCGTCACTGAATGCTGTGCTGCAGGCTGCCAGGGACTGACCTTTTCTGCTAAAATTCTAGGTTAGTGGAATACCCTAATCACAACGACAGTTTCACGGTAGACGGCATCTTTGGGTGTTTTCTCTCCCAACTGTGATTTTGAAGATAAAAAAAATAAAAAAATAAATAAAAAATAAAAGCTTTCTTGGCACCCAACGCCTGGTCCTGCTGCCACAGAGTTGAACAGCACAGATATTGGCCGTATCTATCAGATTGTTGATATTTATGGCAAGTTTGCAAGGACAATTTATCTCTGAAATTTCAAACGCATTGGGAGGAATTATGAAGCTGTCCAACTCCATTTCCTTTAGTGTCCTGTACATCGAAAGCAATGACTGTTCTCTTTGTCACAAATGTTGACATGCACGCCAGGGATCTCTTCACATCTTTAGGGAAATGTAGCTGTGAATCTTTCAGTCTTCCAATAGTCCTAAAGTATTTGCAAATACATGAGTAAGTATGAACTCAAGCATATACCAGGACATTCCATCCACGAGTCAGGTGCCCTGTGATACAAGGCTTAATTGTGGTCAAAAGTGTACATTCCAACTGGCTAATGATCCAATATATACTCCCAAATCCGTTACAAAAAAAACGCACGTTGGAGTATTTATTCCAAATGGTTAACTAATCCTCAAAAATCGCCAAACCAAAAATCTTTTAAAGCATGCTATGGATTGGACAAAAATAAATAAATACATTTTAAAAAAAGTGTAGAATAAAAAAAATGTAAAAAAAAGACATCTGAAGTGAGTCACATATTTTCCTTGCTAATACACAAAAATAAGTCATGTGCTCAGCCTCCCACTACTCCTGGGAGGCAGCAATGACCATAGTACACATCAGCCTCAATACATACAATAAAAACCAAAGAAAAGCATTACTTGCACACTAGCTCAAATCCCTATGCATATTTAAACAAATGGAGGTTTTTAGTAACACTTCAATGGTCATCAGATGTCACATCAAGGCAAACCTTAGGTGGGTCTTACACTAACAATTCACCTTGCTACCTTCAGGTATAAAAAAAAAAAAAAAAAAAACAAACAAACAAACAAACAAAACTAATAACACAGATGTATATTTTTCTAAACCCCCTATATACTTATTAACACTTAATAGAAAAACTGTCAATATCGACTCTGCTAATATTTCCTTTTTATTCCATTTTTAAAATTGGACTACATTTCTTATTTTACATTCCATCTATGGCAGACTGGGCAAAGCATGCAAATTAGTTTACCCCAGCACTGCTGGACATAATGTCGAGCATACATAAAATCATCATGCATAATCTCTCCATAAAGGGCCGAGTGCACCCAAAGCATCATGAGATGACAGCACCATTAAAGTATAGCGTAGGCAAGATTTAACTTTTAATATACTTGCCTCCGCTGCTTTATTAGCCCTAGTAGGTGATGCAGTAGTGTTTATTAGGGTGAGAAAACAAGGTACTGTCACTCTGCTGTAGGCAAAAATTCCAGTTTAAAGATTTGTAACCAATTCTCCCTCCAGGATTTCCTTAATTAAATGTATGAAGTACATGGGAAGTCAGAGCCCAATTTCTTCAGGCAGCATGTACACACCATATCACAAAATAAAATAGACATCCTGAACCCAGAACTGACAATTACGGCAGTCCTATAGCAACAGATCTAGAGGATAGTAGGCCTAGTATGCTGTATGTACATTTATCTTTGCAATTAAGTTGTGATGGTGTTTAGTGGGATCATTTAATGCTTATCAACAGATTTTGATCCAACAGTTTATTCAGTATGATGACAGCAGGCTTGCACACTGCAGGACCTTCGTCATGGATGCCCTGAAGGGTAGTCCGAATATGTTGGGAATCTCAAAAAAAATAAAAAAATAAAAATGAAACCAATAGACATCTTAACCATTTCACCACACAGAAGTTATGGTGTCTGTGGGTGATGCCTTCCACTTACATGTAAAACCATTATCTCACCAATTCAATGGGATGCAGGAAAGATTCCTCAATGCTCACAGGCCAGCCCCCAATGACTGTATAGCTTATCATTCCTCTCAGCCTATCACCTCCTGGACTGACTGAAGGCGGAGCTACTTTCCATCTATGCCAAACTGAGTTGTAACTGAGTCATGATAGCATGAGCGCGGAGTGGAAACCTGCACTCATGCAAAACTGTAAGGCAGCGGTTTGACAGGCACCATAAACAGTTTAATAAGTGAAATTGGTGAACACAGTGCCACTAAGTAACTGAAGAGGCATGATGCTGAATTGAGTCACAATTTATATATATGTTCCATCATCATCATAAAAGCCACACGCCTTTTTTGCTGCAGCGTGACAAGAAGTTATAAAAAGTTGATAAATAAAACATAATTATATACACAAAGTGTAAAATAACTAGCTGCAACAAATCAAGCAGGATTATTCACTAAAACGCCATGGCCAAAATCACTGAACTAGAAAAATAAAAAAATAAAGTCAACTCAGCTACTTTGGCCTTAAATTTGATATCCCCTTTGCATTACTGACAATTGTTATTTTATTTAATAACTCAGAAAGACACACAATACGTATTTGAGTAAATAACCTTGTAAGCAAATTTCAAAAAAAGGCAAAAAAAAAAAAAAAAAATTTCACTTTGAATTCGCACATTAGTAAGGAAACATGTAAACCTTAGACATGAATCAGGAACGCCAATTCCAGGGGACTTTGTCACGGACCAAAAAAGGAATCACAGAAACAATGTTAGAATTAATAGTCACTGAACAACTGGAAATTATAGGATGGGAAAGAATGAACAGTTTCTAAGAAAAACTGAACCAAACATGTGCCTTTGCAAACTGTAGGCTTGCTTAAAGTTTAATCAGATGTTCTCCATCACCTTTGGCTGGAATAAGAAACTCCCAGACTTATAAAACTATTTCACGGCAGTGTCAGCGTTGACATGATGAAGTGTTATTGGGTTTGGGCAAGTTGAAATGTGACCACTCCCATTCCCTCAATGAAGATGTAACCAATGTATGAAAGCAATAATTTTGTGTTAGTCTAAACACGAACGTAAAACCTTGCATGAACTTAAAATACAAATTCCAAATCATACACACACACACAAAAAAAATAAAAAGTTCGTAGTTTGTAAATATTTATAACAATTACCTTTAAAGGACCACTATAGACACCCAGACCACTTCAGCTCAATGAAGTGGTCTGGGTGCCAGGTCCATCTAGAGTTAACCCTGCCTGCTGTAAACATAGCAGTTTCAGAGATACTGCTATGTTTACATTAGGGTTAATCCAGCCTCTAGTGGCTGTCTCATTGACAGCCGCTAGAGGCGCTTCCGCACTTCTCACTGTGATTTTCACAGCGAGAAGACGCCAGCGTCCATAGGAAAGCATTGAGAATGCTTTCCTATGGACTTATTGAAGAGGAAGAGGGAGGAGAGTCTCAGCACCGAGGGAGCCCAGCGCTGGAGAAAGGCAAACCTTTAACCCCTTTCTCCCCCTAGAGCCCAGGGGAGGAGGGACCTATTAACACTATAGTGCCAGGAAAACGAGTGGTCCTTTAAGAACTCAACACTAATTAAAAGGTTTACCAACTGTTAATTCCCTAACCATCACACAGCATATAGATAAATACTTTTAAAATTATTCTCCTACATTTTTTACAACCTAGTATAATATTACAAGTAAAATTCTGGGGAGGGAGTCCCTTTAAATCCATACCTGCAGGCTAGTTACAATATACACACATAGAGCTATAAATTATATAATGGAATAAAGACACTTGATTGATGATTTCATATAATGAACTCTTGGATAGGAACTAAAATGCCAAGTTCAATTTTATGAGCATTGCCATGCTCATGTTACCATAAAGGAAAGGATATACAAGACTTAAAGGGACAGTAAGCACCATAACCACCACAGCGGAATTTAGCAATGCTGGTGCAAGAGTCCTTCCAGTTGTAACATAATTATTGTACGATTGAATGTAATCAAATACTACTAAAAGAGTGGTATAACCTCGATTAAACATGTTTCAGAATTGCTTTGATATAGGAGCTTCCAGTGTGAGTTTGTAATATTTTTAGTATGTCATTTATGGAGTAAAAAGTTTGTAGTAACAAATTTTGGAATAGCAGCAAACCCCAGCATTGGGGTAAAGGAGAGCCCTGATTTCTGTTAAAACTACTCAAAAATGGTTTCACAAAAAATAAAATTAAAAACCAAACCAATACGCAATATACTACAGTAGTTATAGTGCCCCTTTACTGTATGTCCTAGGAAGCAAGTTTGGAGCTTCACTCATACCTTCAAAAGTTAATAGGGTTTTACTGCATTATTTTAACTCCATAAATAGCATGCTAAACATACTACACATTCCAGACATAATTGGCAGCTCTTGCATTTTATCTAGCCAAAACATTAGCCCTTCAGGAGCATGTTTAATCAAGGAGTCATTTAACGCTTCCTCCCCCCTCCCCAGTAGTGTGTTCTGATTTGTCCTGATTATATGCAACCATGCCAGGGTTATAACATTTTTCCTCTGGGTGCACAGATAGTATACATTTGTTTAGATTGTGCCAGACTTACTTCCTTTAGAGTCTGTCTTACAAATTCCATAATCAGAATATGCAGTTCGTTCACAGATTAGAGAACCATAATTTGCTGGGATTATCTCTTTAGGTTAATAATATACTGTAACAAATGGAGTAATTCAAATGGAATTAAAAAAGGTGAACCATCACTTCTCTGTCATTTACAACATGGAGTACAACACTGAAAATAGGGCTATAACTTGTATTCAGGTTTTTGTTTTTATAAAATTTAGCAAAATTACATTCAGCCAAGGCACAGACAGGACACACAAGGCAAATGAGAAAGAAATACAAATATTTTCCATTTCTATTCTACTCCGAAGGCTTTATTTTGTGCTGCTAGCTGCAATGCACACACACAGTTACAGTGTATAGAGGTATGGATTTCTACATTGAGATTTTTTTTTTTTTAAACAAAATTCACAAATAAATACTTATATATTTTTAAAATATGGAGGCTAAGTAAACCCAATATTAAATATCAAGGTAAGTTGTCAGCTGTTCTTTAAAACAGGTTTGCCTTTCCCAGCGCAATGGAAAAAGGGGGACACCCCCTTTTCACTGGGTCAGATCAATTAAGGCATTTGGCTTAGTTTGTTATGAAATATTAGAACATCTGAAGAATGATTAACAAAAGGATACTACAACTTTAGCTTAATGAAGCAGTTTTTATTTTTATTTTCTATGTATAGATCATGCCCATGCAGTCTCACTGCTCATTTCTCTGCCATTCTTTGTTTATAAAAGGCCTAGTCTCACACCTCCCCTGGCTGTGACTGACACAGTCCGCACAAAAATAAAATAAAAAAATGTTTTATATCAGATGTAAACTTACTTTAGATGTTTAAAAACTCCTACTCTGCAAATTTTACAGGGATTCCCTAGTGCCAGGAAAGCAAATTCGTTTCCCTGGCACTGTGGTGACTCCGTCCCTCTTGGCCCCCATGCCATGGCGCTGAAGGGGTTAAAGCCCTTACCTGAATCCAGTGTTGATGTCCCTCGGCACTGGGTCAGGCTCCGACCATGCTCCTCCCCTGTCAACGTCAGCCGACGGGGGAGATCTAATGCACATGCGCGGCAATGGCCATTTCGCATTAGGATGTTACCATGGGAAAATCTGCTGGAGGTATAAGCACCCGGAAGTCTTGAAGACAGCCACTAGAGGAGGACTTAACCCTGCAAGTTGATAGGGAAACTGCAAAACTTACCACTGTAGGGTTAAGTGACATGGGAATTACACCCAGACCACTTCAATGAGCTAAAATAGTCTGGGTGTCTACAGTAAAACAAACACACTAGGCTCCTGTAAGCTCTAGAATTTTATTCACAGAGCAAGAGATTTAAATAAACTATTAAAACAGACAATGTAATAAAGTTTAAACATTAGAGGTTTCTTTACAGGAAGTGTTTAGAAATGCTGTGTAAGTCACATGCAGGGAGGTGTGGCCAGGTTGCATAAACAAATTGATTTAATTCCTAAATGGCAGAGAATTGAGTAGTGAGACTACAGGGGCATGATCTACACACCAAAACTGCTTCATAAACCTTAAGACCTAAAGTTGTTTTTGAGCATATAGTAACACTTTAACTCATTTTAAAATTAAAGCATGGGTCATCAGGCTAATACTTTGTACGTTATTTGAGTCTTACAGGGTTATTCACAAATGTGAAAATTTCAAAGTCAATTTCGAGTTAAAAGGTAAAAATAATAAAATTGGAAAAAGTCAGATATGCTTCCAGTTGGACTACTTTGGCCTTAAAATTTTAAATTCACTTTGAATTATCACTTACAGCCTTTCTAACCCTGTTAGTCACAAAATTACCACGGATAACGAGCATTTACAACAGTGAAGCATATTATATTTGAATAGAATGCCACAGTTTAGTAAACAACATTTTAAAACTGGTTGTTTCACAAAAGATGGGCAGGGTAGAATAAGATAGATAAATAAACACAGTTACTTGGCAAATATATTTGCACACACACCTTTATTAAAATAGAACATCTACTATACAGAGTTCTCTGCCAAGCAGGGATCATTGCAATGGCAATGCAAAATTAGGAGGGAATGAACACAAAAGGCTTTCTAAGAGTGCTTAAAAATAAGGAATATATGCAAAGAATGCTTATCCTGCTGTGGATTGTGGTAGCTGAGGATCTTTGATCTGTATCCAAACGCAGTGTTTGAAGTGAGCCGTTTTGGGATAACATGGATGTGAAAAGCAAAACAGAACAAAGTAGCAAAAAGCAGGCCAGTGTAATCAGAACAGAGGAAGCAGATCTGCTGTATGTCAGGAGGACAAGATACAAAAAGTCATATTGTAAGATGTAAAAGGATTTATTTACTAAACGGGAGACTATAGAAAAGTTGCAAGAGTTCCAAATTTTAGGTCCAAACAACTGGGCCTGAAAAATAGATTACAGTACGTCTATTTTGGCCTATAACTTGCCATTTAGTACTGCATTGTACACAATTCCTGATTTACAAAAAGAGAGGAAGAATAAACTAATATGATCAAATGGCATTGTACTACATTGTGATACAAACCATTATGGGCCATACAGGGCTCCTCCATGCTTAACTGTGAAATACACAGGCTTCCCTGATGGCCATCTTATTTATGGATTTAATAGATGCGATCCCAGTTAGGTTGACTATTGCATTTCATATAAAAGTGAGGATTGGTCACGGAGATATTGTCACCTAACTGAATTCCGCTATGGACTGGCTTGTGGATAAGTATAGATTCTCAAAAGCCAAAACGACAAATCAGCAGTCAAGAAGAGAGCACACTGCGTTAAAACATGTGAATCTGTAAAGAGCTGTTTTACTACCTAAAAATAATGTAACTTTAGCTTCTTTTAAAGAAACAATTTAAACCACAAATTCAATATCACTGAAAAGCAGACAGGTCAATGTTCCAAATGTTTACTGGTCTGATTTGCATGTCGGAGGAGAAGATAGACTGCGCTCAGGATGTGCCCTGTCTTGCAAGTTAGAAGGCGGCCTGTGTGTTCCAACCTTGTTCAGGTTTCCAAAAATTATGACTGCACTGGTTCAAAGTTCAAGCAACTTCAAAAATTAACTTAAGCATACATAAAAGGTTTTTCACTGTACCATGAATCATCAGGCAATTTCAAAATTTATTTATTTTTTGTGTCGCAATTCCAAGTATATAACACAGAAAAACACACACACACACAAACGTAGAACTGTGATTTTAGGTAGCTGCTTGAGATGAAAAAAAAACACATTACTATAAACAAACATAGCTCACTACAATGGTGCAATAAGAGGAAAGCGTAAGTGCTACAATTATAATGATGTCTGCTTCTTTAACAGCCACATAAAGAGCATAATACGCAGTGGGGGACATGAATTCTACTGGTATGTGAACCGTAAACATCGCAAGAAGTACTGTAACAAGTATGAACTGAAAAGGGCATAAAATTTACTATAACTCAAGATACACACAAAAACAAAATGGTGCAAGGCACTAATGGAACCAGTCCGGAAGGTACTCTTGTCCAGGGTAAGATGATTACTTTGCCGGTGTTAGCTGTGGGGGTGGGTGGGGGGGAAGGAACTGTTGGTGCCGTATCCAAGCAGTGCAGAGATTGAGAAAGCAAAAATAAATAAATAAATAAATAAATGTCAGTGGGCAACCCCAAGGCTTTGAAACATGTAGAAGCTCCAGCTGCTTGGAGCCTGCATAGCCCCTAGGTGTATGGTATCTCCCTTTCCCAGAGAAATTAGTAATTGGATGAAAAGCCCTATGCCACTGAATAGTGTCCTGTAATAGATCCCAAAAAAAGGGATAACTGCGAGAGTTCATAATACATAGCTGGCATATTTCTCACTTATCAGCCTCTATTTAAAATGTCATTAAGACATCCTTGGAGGCTTCCAGGGGACCCTTAGCCACCTAAGCAAGCTGTATATGACTCTCCACTGCCATTTAAAAGCAAAAAACTTAAAAAAAAAAAAAAAAAAAAAAATTGATCTTCAGAAATGACAAGGAAGTTCTACTGTTCTAATTTGATCTAGAATTCCGCAAATTTGAAGATTCCTTGTCCTGGTTCTTTCCTCCAACACATCCACCCGGGAAATTAGGTCTTGATAACCCTTCTGCAATTCCCCAAGGGTATGGTCAGTGGTGGACTGTGCCACCCGTAAACCCCCAGATACTCCTCCACACCTGTGACGCAGCCTGTCCGCATGGTAACCTCCTCACCAGGGCTGTCATCAGAAATTTTGGGGCCCCTGACAAAGCACGAGTTCGCCCACAGGTCTCCTACCTAGTCCGCTGTCAGTGATGCACGACTGAATGTGGTGTGTATAGTGGAAGTTAATTAGAATGTGTGTAATGGATGTAGTGTTTGTGTGTATTAGATAATGTTTGTGCAGTGAATGCAGAGAGTGTGTGTGTGTAGCGGGTGCAGTGTGTATAGTGAACGCAGAGTGTGTTAGTGTAGTGGATGTAGTGTTTGTGTGTATTGGATGTAGTGTGTGTACAGTGATGTAGTGTTTGTGTGTATTAGACGCAATGTGTTTAGTGGATGCAGTGTCTGTAGTGGATGTTGTGTGTGTATTAGACGCAGTGTCTCTGTATAGTGAATGCAGAGTGTTTGAATGTGTGGTGGATGTAGTGTGTGTACCGTGAAAACAGGTTGTAAGTGTAGCGAGTGCAGGGTGTGCGTCAGTGTAGCGAGTGCAGGGTGTGCGTCAGTGTAGCGAGTGCAGGGTGTGCGTCAGTGTAGCGAGTGCAGGGTGTGCGTCAGTGTAGCGAGTGCAGGGTGTGCGTCAGTGTAGCGAGTGCAGGGTGTCAGTGGTTCAGGGAGGGGGAGATTCCATCCCTGCTATCATTGCTTATTAATTATTTAGTAATTTAGAACAGAGATGGTTATTTTAAAGAGATGGTTTCTGGTTTGGCCTGCATCCCTTACATTACAGTTAGCAGAGGGTTAATGGCATTCCAAAACAGAGCATCTCCCACAGAACCAGCACTGTGTACACTGACAGCCAGGACAGGTGTCACAAATGATCTAATGCAGAGCCATCTAGAGCTGCGCTCCACATTTTTGTGGATTGTACAGTAGATGCCGATTAACCACTTCCTACACAATGACCCATCACTGCAGAGTTCAACTATGAGAGTCAGCATGATTAGCAGTCATATTGTTACACAGACTCCAGGCATGAAATGGTTAAGTAAGGATAGGGAATAAAGATTTCAGCATGGATTCGTGATGGTATATGGTGGTTGCAGCAGTGATGTTCTAACCTTTGGCACCCAATCACTTGTGGACTCCGATCCCCTCATACTCCGCCAGCCAGGGGAAGGCTGAAAGGTGGCCAGTGATTTCAGAGAGTTGGCATGTGGTCCGATAATATGAACATCTCGAGCCAGATATATGGCTGAGGCTGGGGGTCCAGTGGCATGGTGGTGCCCCCCGGCTCCCTGTACTTGCAGAGGGGGCCCAGCAGACTGCAGGAGCACATTACAGCTCTTCCCTCTCTCTAACTCCCGCAAGCGTGGCGTGCGTGCCGCGCGGAGCATTGCCATGGTAACCCGTGGCAACGCTCTGACAGCCGTGGATCTTGCGGGAGTTAGAGAGAGAGGGAAGATCTGTAAAGTACAGATGCAGTCGGCTGGGTCCCCTCTGCAAGTACAGGGAGCCAGGGGCCCTTAGCAACACACACAAATCAATATATAAGGAGCACTCACAGGTCTTCATCCAAAGTCTGGTTTATTCTTTAGTGCAAATCTTTAAACACTCAACGTTTCGACCCCTGTGAGGGGGTCGAAACGTTGATTGTTTAAATATTTGCACATGTAATTTGCACTAAAGAATAAACCAGACTTTGGATGAAGACCTGTGAGTGATAGATAGAGATATATATATATATATATATATATATATATATATATATATATATATATATATCAATCATCGCTATATAAATATATATGTGCAGAGAGAAAATGTGGGGCCTGGGACTGCCGGGCCCATGACAACTCTATTTATTTCAGATCAACTATCTTGGCTCTTTTGCCTTGAAAGTTTCAATTTTCTGGGCAATTCCTAAAATTTAGCAGTTTTGTGAATAATCAGGATAGCGTTTGCTATTCAATACAAAAGAACAATGCTAATTTCCCGCTACACGTGTCAGAGATGCTACATATTCACAAAACTATCACAACCATATCTTGGCATTTTAATAGCCAGAAAAAACACATACAGTCTGACAACTCAATGGCGCATAACAATGAGAAATCAGCAGTAAGGATCCACGAAATTATAACTTATGGCTTTTTGATGGCCATTTTTAAGGCAAACTAATTGGGTTTTATTTTTTGCTGTGTTTTGGGGGTAGATACATTTATAAATCAGAATTTTTGACATTTACTTATTGCAAAGACATTTATACGATACCAGCAAATTCTGCAGAATTTAACATATGTGAACTGTACTATTAATTCGTAACAAACTTAAAAAAAAAAAAACACACACACACTTTAACCAGTGGAGAGGGAGACTAGAATAAAACAAAAGATATTTTTACTGTCGCTTTAAGGACAATACAAACCAGGAATACAGTATATCGCCGACGTGTCTGAAATTATTTTATTTTTCTTAACCGGGGTTGGGGGGCTTTACCAAGCTTGACATGAAAGAATGTCAAGAACTGATGCTAGAGGCAAACATTTTTTTGTGCATGATAAATTAGAAAGATTGTTTATGCAAGAAGTTAGCATAACAGACACAGTTAAATCCAGAGGAATGTGCAGCTTTCAAAAATCCAGAGTATAAAATAAAATTAATTTCTATAGGTAGCCAGAGTCACTACAAAAAAATAACGCATTACAAATATACAGACATGTGTGAGAATTAATTCGTAAACATACACATAATTATATACAAAAATAAGCTATGAGTTCTGTAGTACTGGCCGGGTTATTCATTAAAGTAAGAAACGTACAAAAATATAAATTTAAAAAACGTGTGTACATTTAAAGCCAGAGTAGCTGAACTGAAAGCAGAGCTTAGAAATATTTCCAGTTTGGCATTTCTGCTTTCAGAACCGGTCATGGTGGTTGAAATCTGTATTTGCAGCATTTCAGATTGAAACACTGCACATGCGGAGATATTTTCACTTTTGTGCCAGAGGTTAGTTACATCCCCAGCACACGTGACTTTGGCAGCCATGAACACATCCATTTTCAGTGCGCACTGCACGCTGGTAACAGTGGTAATTACCTTATGCTTGTCTGCCCTCCCTCCTTCACTGAAGTCCTCCACACTACCCTTTACCCTAAGTTTTTTTACATTTTTTCCTACCGCCTTCCCACCTTCTCTCCCTCCCTAGAGCACGCACATGGGCTAAGCCGGTTCAACATTCCAACCTCTGAGTAGACCTTGCAACGGTTGCCATTACGTCAGACGGGGAGCGCCGAATTCAGTAATATTTTAACGTATTTTTTATTATTTTTGCGTTTGGAGCGGGGAATACTAAACAATAATGGAAAAAAGTAAAAAAAAGTTGGCGTAGCCCTTTAAATTTTAAATTCACTTTAGTGAATAACCCTGTGGGAGCTGGTTTTACGTAAACAGTGTGCCACAATGCATATACAATTCAATAGCAACCCAGTAAGGTCCATTGGAGTGACCTTTAACCTCTTGTGGCCAAGGTTAAAAAAAATGTGTGTGTGTGTATATATATATATATATATATATATATATATATATATATACACACATATACATACACACACACACATATATTAGAAGGAAGTATCAATTGCTATGTTTAATTTAACTGATCAAGGGTTGTTACACTATATATGAATGCTCTCCTTCATGTAGACATATTGGCAGTGGCTGGAGAAGTATCAACATTTCAGATTAATTACTATTCTTTCATCAGACTCAAGCCATCAGTGAATACTATTCGAGCAAGAATAGTTTTCTACTCTACCCTTACTTTGTGTGTCACTTTACCCTCACTCCCTCTATCATGTAAGCTCATAGAGCAGAGCCCTCAACCCTACTATTCTGGTCCATCTTTTCTGGTATTAATACACAAACAAATTAATGCAAAATTAACATGCAGTGCTATTAAACAAAAGAGAGGACAATTCTACAATACTGAAGCTGTAATAAAAGGTGAATCCATAGAAAACTGATCTTACATGCTTTAAAAAAATAAAATAAAAAAAATATTTAAAAAAAAACCAGTAGAAAGTGAAGGAATATTATTTAAAAAAAATAATAATTAATAAATAGAAAGTCTATAGATGGCTGTGGGGAGAGACAAATAGACCACAGCCATGAAACAAAGACGTATAAGAAAACCAGTCCCAGTTTACCATCTATGCTACCTCCAGAGAATCAACTTAAGATACATGCTCAGCAGAGCAGCCAACAACAACAGCCACTGCAATAACCGGAGTATTCTAGAAACACCTTGTTATCGCAGGACAGACCACCCAAACCCATTTCAAAGAGAGATGAAAAACAGACAGACAGACGATTCACAAGAAGAGAGAGAGAAGAGTCAAAGTGTACCGGGGCAAGAAGTCATCCACTAGACACAATAAATAAAGCTTGTTTTCAATTTGTTCTCCAGTTACCTTGATAAAGAAGAATTTTTACTATTGAGCAGAGGAGATTATAAGTACCTACGGTGCAACCATACGCATTTAAATGGGAAGTGGGTTTATATAGATTTAAAAAGGTCACTACGACTTAATGATTTTTTTTTTTCCCCCAATGGTAAATCTCCTGGAGAGAGAAGAAACAAGGCAATTTCAACCAAATAATTTGTTTGATCCACAGCCAAATCTATCAAAACATTTTTTAATTCAGTACAAAGAGAGACTACACAAGTACAACAATCAAAGCAACCCCTCAATTCTGACATCACCAACAGAGAAAGGAAAAAAATAAAATCTTTGTAAGACAACACTACTGTATAGTGATTAGAGGGGTGGACAAGGGTGTAGGAATAGTTGTTCAAAACTATAGAAAATACCAGGGATAAGCCCTAAAACAAGGTATAAAGGGAGCCTGGAGACCTCACTATCATACCGATGGCTATTTTTGGAGGAGTCTTGCAGAGTGAGTTAGACAAGGGTCACATCTCAGATCTGTTTAAACTTTTGTAGAAACATAGCCCAAGAACACCAGTGGGTAAATTATTGTATCCCAAACGTAAACAAGGACTCAAAAATCTCCCTGGATCCCTTACTGTGTCTGCAAAAAGAGGCATAATAGAACCTGTCGCAACGTGGCTGAATTATTTGTTCAAAAAGCCCATATAACAACAACAGCCAACTTGCATTATACAGGTGATTTGATAATCCATTTAAAAACCATCACACTGCTAAATCAAGATGTAACTCTGTTAACATGTGATGTAAACAGTTTGTACACTATACTCCACCCCACCAGGATGGCATTGAAGCAATGAGACATTTTAAGGTTCATCAATTGATGTGTTGGAGTTATTGGAATTAACGTTTACCCACAACTATTTTTGTTTTGAGAACAGGTGGTTTCTACAAATCTTGGGCACATCCATCCGTGCAGGCATGGCACCCATGTATGCCAATGGCTAAATGTATTGTTTCGAATAAGAGCACATTTTGACCCCCTATGCAGACATAATTGAGGTTTATAGATGACATTTTTATGGAGGATTTCGCCAGTACAACTTACTGCAAAATGCAGCAATTAAGTCATGGAATTCCTTGATGGGAGAACTGAAAGATCTGGAGCCAGTTTAAACATACATTATAAAGCAAGCCGACAGATCGCAATACATTACTACAAGCAAGCAGTTTCCATCTTCCGCACGTCAAGGCTTCACTGCCTTTGTCACAATTTTTGAAGGACTATACAGGAACAATTCAGACCCAGATGTGGCAGAACAGCAAGTTTTTGCAACATGGGATAGATTCGGACAGAGAGGATACAGATCCAAGATACTGAACGAAGCACTTGAGAAGTGCCACAATAAGGAACCAAGCAGAATTGTTGACGGTGTACACTACTGATCCAAGCGTCTGAAGGACATTATTGCCCCATTGTTTTAAGGAAAAAAAAAAAAAAAAAAAACAACAACAACGGGCATAAATTTGAAAGATCTATTGGTCCACACGGACCCGGTTTCATGTAAATATATATTTTTTTGCTACTGCCCTCTGTCACTATACTTAACCTTGGGGTGCTGCCTACACGGGTCTGATGGAAGGCGGAGAAGGCCAGGGCACATGCTGCCATCTCCTACCACTCGCAGCTTACCACCAGTCCTGCAGGGGCTCCTGCTCCACATATTCCCACGCTCCACTCTACTGTTCTCTCGTCCTTCATTGGGGCTAATGTGCTCAGTGGCTGACTCACCGTTATGGGAATGTGACCTGCCCCAGAGGGGCATAGGCTGATCAGGTACAATGTCTCTTGCCGGCACACTTGCCTTCCACTCGCTGGCTCCACAGTGAATTGTTACTTATTTTTATGCAGACAATCATGGTTTGGTTTGCTTTAACCAACCGTCCTGTGAGCACCCAGTGGTACTACTCGAGCTACTCATAGTTTGTTTGCCTTCATCACATACCTATTTGTTCTAACATTGCTAGTTAAGCATATCTACTCGCTCTAGCATTAAATCAACATAACTACATGTTCTTTATATTATAAAATTGTGCATGCATCTTCCAATACCCCAGTTGTACTACTTGCTGATAAGCCTGAGGATTGCTGTTGGGGCACCTCAAGACTGTATGTAATGTGCACTAGAAAAATAAAACAAAAATAAAAAAATAAAAAACAACAAATAGAAAGGAAATACAAGAGACCTCACAAGTGACAGTTCCACTAAATAATGATACAGCTGTTAAATCAATAAAACTATAAGAAAAAGAGAGAAAAACACATGCCTGTGTTAGAGATACTTTCACCATTATAAAATCATCTTCATAAAGCAGTCACTTACCTAGCAGACATTGTAGGATGTGGCATAGCATGTAAATTAATGTATAAACAGGAAGCTGACTAACGTGTATGCTCACCTGTTTAATACACTTCTCATTCAATGCTGCCACAAAGAATAAGTGGTTTGGTTCTAAACTATAAAAAAAATAAAAAAAAATAAAAAAATTAAAAAGGGACACTGCAGTCATCAAAACCACTTTAGCTTAATGGAGAAGTTTTGGTGTAGATAATGTCCCTGCAGACTCACTGCTCATTCTCTGCCATTTAGGTGTTAAATCCCTTTGTTTATGCAGCCCTAGCCACACCTACCTGCATGTGACTTACACAGCCTTCCTAAGCACTTCCTGTAAAGAGACATCTAATGTTTACACTTCCTTTATTGCAAATTCTGTCTAATGCAGAAGTTTGTTTATGTCCTTCTCTGTTAATAGCTTGCTAGACCCTGCAGGATCCTCCTGTGTGTAATTAAAGTTCAATTTACAGAACAGGAGAAAAAAAAAAAAACTTTTAAAGTTACATCTGATTTAAAGATAAACTTTTTTCATGTGGTGAGTCACAGCCAGGGAAGATGTGGCTAGGGCTGTATAAACAGAAACAAAAGTGATTTAACTCCTAAATTGCAGTGATACTTCAGAAGCATGAGCTATACACAAAAACTGTATCATCAAGCTATAGGTGTTTTGATGACTATAGTGTCCCTTTAAGCTAGCAGTGATCTAACATACCAATGAAATAATTTTAAAAAAACCTAGCAATTAATATTTTTCAGTGACTTTTATTCACACACTCACGTTTTTGTAACCACTCACATTTGCACTTTTTAAAAGAAAAGAAATAAAAAAATTTTTTTAAAAAACATGTATTTCTCAGGTTGGCGTGTTTCGCTGTATACTGAGATTATTGCACTTTTACCGGCAGGCTGTGAATGCTATTTGGAACTTTAAAATTACCAATCTACAAATGCATTGGTTTATGGGAATGCTCAGCAATCTCACCACAAACAAAAAGAGAGCCTGGGATTGGCTCTGAACACACAGTCACTTCCTGCTTCATGAACCAAGTATCCGGTAACTCCAGGTGGTATGCAGATGTTTGATTGCCTAAACCAGGGGTAGGCAACCTACGGCACTAATGCCATGCACGGCACTGAAGGTGTCTTTCCACGGCACTCAAGGCTGCTAGAGCCAAACAGGCTCTGGTCTATCGGAGTCCCAGTAAAACTTCAAATATCTGCTAATACGAAAAGGTGGTGAAGGACAATCCTCAATTTAAGAATTGCAGCACATAGAGGAAATGATCTCAGATCACTTCCTTGCTGTTGCAGCTTCTGTCTTTGACCTGTACCAGGCCAGCCTGGTCCCCACTGGAACCCAGGGAAGCCAACCATACTGCTAGATATACACAGATATTGTGGATCAAACCAAGTGTTTATTTGAGTATCTGCTCCTTTCCAAATTGTTAAAATAAATGCGTGCACGCTCTGAAGTAAATTACACTGAGACACAGGTATCAGGTTAATGAAAAACTTTGGAATGTTTACTCAGGGGGCGGCAAGCCCCTTATAAAAGGCAAAAATACATCATATGCAAAAATGTAGATAACAGAGAGAATACATCTTTAATTGGTTAGGTGTTAAAGTGTCTTATCTAATGCACATCCTACGAGGCGTGATGTCACCATCATCCCAGGATTTTACTCCGGATGTAGGCGCCATCTTGTTACACGAGGTAGTTAGTCGGTGGGAGGGGGTGCTCTAGCAGCCATTTTGAGTAGATATTGAATACAGGTATACACAGTAAATAGACATTTTACTATCACTAATTTACATTCATAACAGAGAAATGAAGAATAACCCTCCCCTTATACAAATAATACGAGCAGCCCCCACACACAAACATACACACAATCTGCACAAACGTAACCCGCTAACAATCCAAATACATGCACACAATGTCACATGCAATACCCCAAACAGCCCACACACACTACCAAACACACAATGTGACATATCCATCCACACACACACACACACACACACACACACAAAATTCCACAAGCAACCCTCATACACAGCCCATATTCATATGTATCATACACAATACCATAAAATACTAATGAACATATACAATATAATAGCTTATATATGCACAAATACAACGATGCAAAGCAACTGCAGTAAAAATAACAAGCAGAATACGGCAGCATACACACCTCAATTTAAAAAAATAGGACCGGCTACGCTATGGGACATCACAATCCTATATATCCGCACAGTACTGCTAAAAGGTTGCCTACCCCTGGCCTAAATGATTGATGGCTAGAGATGTCGCGAACTGTTCGCCGAACTGTTCGCGAACTGTCCGCCGGCGAACAATAGCGTGTTCGCGTTGGGCGAACATATCCGATTTCCGGTCCGCCCCCTATACGTCATCATTGAGTAAACTTTGACCCGGAACCTCACAGTCAGCAGACACTTCCTGGGAGGGAGGGTATGCTGCTGATTGGGTGGAATGTGTCTGCTGGCTGTGAGGTTCCGGGTCAAAGTTTACTCAATGATGACGTATAGGGGGCGGACCGGAAATCGGATATGTTCGCCCAACGCGAACACGCTATTGTTCGCCGGCGGACAGTTCGGCAGACAGTTTGCAACATCTCTATTGATGGCTAAGCATGAGCCCTCAAAAGTAGTCAAGTATGATGGAAAACATTTGAGAAGCCAAGGGTTAGCCTTCACTGACCTTAAGATTCTCAAAACAGCTGACAATGAATTAACTGGTATAAAGGTCTAGCCTCCAACAATTGCTAGAATTTCATTCTTGTCTGACATTCACAGATATTCAATCCTTTTATACACAGATTATATACTACAGGTTCCCTTAGTGATAAAGTTTTGCCAGTTTACCTCCTGTAAAACCAGAAGGTCAGGCGTTACACTGAAAAAAAGCCTCAGGCCTCCCACTCCCATGACATCTTCTCACAGACACCAAGCAATAGAATGTGTGACGCGCCTTGCTACAATGTAATGCCACATTATAAATAGAACAAGGAAAAGGCAGAATGTAGAATTTGGTGGGAACGCAGAAATTACAGTGTTCTGCTAAACACTTCAGCCAAGTGTGGCGCAAGGAATAGGGAACAGCCCGTAGTGCTGTCAAAAAGGAGCTTGCAAAACCATACATGTCAATTGCATTACAAGCATACCTGTCAAATGCAATCACTAGAAAGGCAATGGCACCTTCATCACGTACAGGCAAACACTCAAAGATTGTGTCTTAAAGCAAGTCATTCAAATTGTGGACGCCCAGATTCTTCTGGTCTATAACTCCCAGAACGCTCTTCCAGACTAAATAAAATAACTTCACGCAACTGAACACCAGAGTAAGTTGCAGAACAAAACTTTGCAAACGCTGACATAATATTGGGTATGTAACAATGTATTGTTGCAACTACAAACTAACTGCAAAACATAGGCCAAAGTAGAGAGGATCCACAGCAACTGTCAATGGAAATATCAAAACCAGCATTTTTTTTTTTTTTTTATAGCTCTGCAATTTTAGACTAAAATATCCAAATCCATAGTCAATTCCAGGTTTGGCTGATTTTTTTTTTTTGATTTTTTTTTTAAATAAATTCCTGCCCCTGCTTCCTTTGCAAAATCGACTTTCAAGGTTTCCAAATTCAGTTTATGAATAATCCCCAGAGTGATTAGAAAAAAAAGAAATGAGACACAGGAGTGTCCATGACATGGGTAAGAGAGATGGCAACTTTAAAAAGATAGGGAAGACACACAAACATCACTATTCAATAAATGATGAATTGTGAGGAATTCACAGCAGATACCAAATTTAGGTAAAACAGTCGGTCAATCTAAAGACCTAACTGACTTGAAGAATATTTTCCATTCTGCTAATTTAGCCTATATATGAAATGCACTTTGGATTCTCAACAATTCATACCTTAGCAACTAACATTTAAAAATGTTCACCACCCAACTGGTTTGCCATTTAAGCAATTTATACCAATTAAATCTTCAGTTAAAGTTACATTTAACAGGTTAATCCAGTTTAGGTTCCCCAATGATGGTCCTTCATCCACTAAGCTTTAATTGTTACAGCTTTTGTTATTGAAATTCCACACATTATGCAGTGCATTGTGCAGGGGAGACTTTGCTGAGCTAGGCAGAGTGAATAAAACAGGCAGCCAAGTCCAAAGCTCCTGTCAAACAGCTGGCTGGCAAAAGTGGCATCAACAAAAAGAAAGCTGAGCTGGAGTGAGACACCCTTCATTTACATAGCAGGGCAGGCATCTGAATGACCAGCAATGAAAATGAGTAGCGATTAACCCTTTGGGTGCTTCAAAAACACAATTACTTTTTTGTAACATGACAAAAAATAAAACAAAAAACATTGTAAACGCACACCATAAAAATATTTTAAAAAATAAAGTTTTGAAAAATGTATACAAATGGCATAACCTTCCAGTTAATGGAATATATATTTTTTTTTAAATACTGAAATATTATAAGGGACTGCCTTAAAGACAGTACTAAACAATATTTTTAGGCACATTTAAAAGAATGCCTGCCATAGAGGTCACATCACTATTGATTGTAAAAGTTATACATCATATTTCACTTGAAACTCAAATAAAAATAGGATTCACAAAGCACATTTATATTTCAGTAAAATACCCAAATAAAGAAAATATATAGAATTAGTATTTATATTGCTGAAATGCAGGACGGCCTGAGCAGTGATATATCTACAAGATAGCAATGCATTGCCCCATCACCCCATCACTGATTGGCAGAGCCTTATCTACAAGATAGCAATGCAATGCCCCATCACTGATTGGCAGAGCCTTATTTTGATCTGGCCCAGTGAGGAGTGGTAGATTATAAAAAGATATCATTTTAACTGTAACAGACAGAATGGCTAACTTGCTGCTGTTGGCAGAGAAACTTTCCCATTCATAATAAACTGTTTGATATCTTGAATCAATGGGACCTAAACATGTATACCGATTCACACTGGTTGGCAAAAATAAATAAATAATAGTAATCTAAATGTGGAGCAATCAGAAAGAACATTCCATAGGTTTCCATGGTTACTGTTCCACAGTTAGCACTTTCTACAGAACTGTTCTTTCCCAGTGAGCCCCATGTACTGCAGCCTGCCAATGCCCAAGGTGTGCTGGACACATTCTGTGTGCTGCAGCCCTGCCAGCCATGCCCATGATTGCCCCTGAAAGGGGGCAATGTTGCTCTAGGGGTACTTACCCCTCCTCTCTCTATATCACAGGCAGCCATGATGGAATGCTTAAATGTTTCAAATCCCCAGCCGTCTCCTGAGCTGTATTCTACTGAATTGATGTAATCCCTGCTGCTAGATCTCAATGAGATCCAATATGGCCACTGCACTTCCTGGAAACTCCCCTATACATTAGAGAGAAAGCCCCTTCCACCGCCCACAATGATAACATAGGGCTCCTCCTCGCCTGGCAGCACTTTGGGGCGGGAACTGTTCAATTCCCACTAAAAAATAAAATACAAAAATGCGATTTAATTCTCATTCAATTATTTTTTCAGCTTAAAATAGCAATGGCAAGGATGTGGTTTGTCTTTTTGAGCTGAGCTGGTCCCCTCCCAGCAGTCGCAATGCATGCCGGGATTCGTAGTCCTTGCTACACCGCCTGGTTTGGAGAGCTAAATCATGCTGTGGAAGGATATTTTAGACTGGGTTAGGATTTAGAAGGTTAAGGGGTTAAACTGAGCATGGAAATACGTTTTGAACCAATTCATTAATCACAAATACAGACCCATTGAAAAGAAAAAAATGAACATTTTATTTTAATTGTAAGATTTTAGTGTATATGTATCAATATCATTATGTAAAGTCACATTTTCACTAATAATAGGTTTTTACCTTTATAATTGACTACTTTAAAACTCATACTTAAAATTGTTATATTAGCAATATTGATCATTTTATTATTAGTAGTAGAAAAACAAGACAGCCACTAGAGGCCACTTCCTCCTTCATACCTTCTGTGCTAGAGCGTCGCTGGACTTCCTCACGCTGTGTGAGCACCTCCAGCATCGCTAAAATCCCCATAGGAAAGCATTAAAAGCATTGATGGAGAGGTCTAATGCGGGTGCGCGGCATTGCTGGGCATGCGCATTAGGTCTTCCCCGCTGGATGATGTGGGGATGGGGAGGAGCATGGGCGGACCAAGAAGCAGCGACGAGGGACGTCGCTGCTTCTGGTAAGTCACTGAAGGGGTTTTGACCCCTGCAGCAACCGGGATGGGAGGTGGGAGGGAGAGGGGACCTGCAGTGCCAGGAAACTGATTGTTTTCCTGGCACTGGAGTGTCCCTTTAAGTAGGAAACAAATATTGCTGGCATTTCATTTTATATCATGTTGTTCTAACTAAGTTCTTCCTGAAGAAAATGTCACACACTGTCACTTTGTAAATTAAGTAGGGGGCGGTTGTTTCTCTATGTGTTATAGAAAATAAACTAAAATAAGCTATTCGTATGGAAAGTAACACATGAAGACACTTAAAAATTAAGGCCATAGTCTTTGTTTAAAGGCATTTCAAAGCAAAGACTGTAACTTTTCTTGTTTATTATAATAACACTTTTTAACACATCAATAAAACAGATTAATATGGCATTGAACACCCAGGCTTACTAACCAGAACTGCCTTAACTAGCCAATATTTAAAAAAAAATACATCTTTGCCCCCCAATAATCTAGGCCAGCTTTTCCCAATAGGGTTCCGCAGAACACAAATTGGGGTTCTGCCAAAAAATTTAAAAACAAAATTGCTACGGGCGGCAAGGGAGCAGGGAGCTCTGATCTCTCTGCTCAGCTCCCTCACGCGCACAGCAGTGATGCCGGAGGCGGAATATGAGATACCGAATAAGAGATACCGTCCAGGCGAATATAAGCTCCAGAAAATTGTAAGTGCATTTTTTATTTTTTTTTATTTACCAACACCAGTGGCCTAATATACTGCACTATATTTGCGTCTTTTTCCTTTCCTCCTCCATGTCGGTTTCAGCGAGGTAAATTAGCCAAACTTTTTTTTTTTGCCATTTAAAGATCACAACATAAATATTATAAAGGACACTAATCACAATTTATTATAATAATTACTGTTCCAGCATGAGCCGCAATGCTCAGCATTTTACCGTGTGCCGCGCTTGACTCCTCCCTTCCTTCCAAACACATATAGACAAGGGGCTAAGTGTCAACTTTTGCATCTCATTTGGAAACCAAGGACCCAGAGTCTGGAGGGAGAATAGAGAGGCACACACTGATAGATGCTTGAAGTCCAGTGTGGAGTTTCCACAGTCTGTGTTGATTTGGGGAGCCATGTCATCTGCTGGTGTTGGTGCACTGTGCTTCATTAAATCCAGGGTCAACGCAGCCGTCTACCAGGAGATTCTGGAGCACTTCATGCTTCCTTCTGCAAACGAGTTTTATGGGGATGCTGACTTCATTTTCCAGCAGGACTTGGCACCTACCCACACTGCCAAAAGCACCTAAGCCTGGTTCAATGACCGTGGGATTACTGTGCTTCATTGGCCAGCAAACTCTAAAATAGAATATCTATGGGGCATTGCCAAGAGAAAGATGAGAGACATAAGACCGGAAAATGCAGAGGAGCTGAAGGCCGCTAATGAAGCATCCTGGTCTTCCATAACATCTCAGCAGTGCCACAGGCTGATAGCTTCCATACCATTGAGGCAGTAATTGCTGCAAAAGGGGCCCAAACCAAGTACTGAGTTCTTATGCATGCTTAGAATTTTCAGGGGTCCTATATTGTTCTATGTACACTCCTTGTTTTATTGATTGCATGTAATATTCTAATTTACTGAGATTGTGGATTTGGGGTTTTCATGAGCTGTAAGCCATAATCATCGCACTTATGACAAATCACGGCTTGAACTATCTTGCTTTGCATGTAATGCGTCTATCTCATGTATTAGTTTCCCCTTTTTACGTTGCATTACTGAAATAAATTAACTTTTGCACGATATTCTAATTTTTCGAGTATCACTTGTATATAGTACATTGTAGAGAGATATAGAGAATTCATAATAGTAAACTGTGTTTTATGGAAACGTAATGCCATTTAGGGGTTCTGGAGACATCATAATAAATAACAAGATCAAATACACATGTCACCTTTATGTATCTTTAATATCACAATATTTCTAGGCTACGGTTATTTCTAGGACCACTCAGGGCGATTTAATCTCAATTAAGTTGTCATGGTGTCTGGAAGTCCTGGGTGCTATCTTACATTGTGGTGTTAAACTGTTTTCGAATGGTTTAACTCCAAAGTGCTCACAAGAAATTCTCCAGGCACTCAAGGTGTTAAAGCCGCAGGCAGTTTTAATGGACCAAAAAAGAGCAACAACGTTTCGACCTACTAAATGGTCTTTTTCAAGCTAAAAAAAAGACCTCTTAGCAGGTCCAAACGTTGCTGCTCTTTTGTGTTCCACTAAAACTGCCTGCGGCTTTAACACCGTGAGTGCCTGTAGAATTTCTTGTGTTGCCTTATCGTTGTGGGATTGCTGGTCCTGCTCCAGTGCACCGGATGGCTGCTGGCATTGAATGCGGCTCCTACTATCATTTTTGTAACTCCAAAGTGCTGTCCAGCCCTCCTAGCTCGTCTGTCTCTTCCTCCGACTATGACTTTAGTATGGAAGCCCTGGGTGCTGTAAGTGAAGACAGCGCCAGGCGTCAGGACCTCCAGACATCATAACTTATTTGAGATGAATTGAGAATTGTGCATGGAGTGTCTATTTAAGCCTAAGCTTAGAGCTAATGTTTAAATGTTAGGTTGGGGTTAGGGACATATATGTAGTAGTTGCCGCTTGGGAATGTAACTCCCAATAATATCAGCAATCTGGGGTTTGTATGCCTTAGTTTGAGTTGGCAAATAGAGATGTCGCGAACTGTCAGCCGGCGAACAATAGCGTGTTCGCGTTGGGCGAACATATCCGATTTCCGGTCCGCCCCCTATACGTCATCATTGAGTAAACTTTGACCCGGAACCTCACAGCCAGCAGACACATTCCACCCAATCAGCAGCATACCCTCCCTCCCAGGAAGTGTCTGCTGACTGTGAGGTTCCGGGTCAAAGTTTACTCAATGATGACGTATAGGGGGCGGACCGGAAATCGGATATGTTCGCCCAACGCGAACACGCTATTGTTCGCCGGCGGACAGTTCGCGACATCTCTATTGGCAAACTGTGCATCATTCTCAAGACGGGGTGGACATTTCCCCCTGAAATAATTTTGCTAGATTAAAGCAAAGCAGACATTTTTATTTTATTTTTTTATCTCCATTGCTATCATCACCTGTCCCCTCAGGGTTGTGTGATCTGTGCAAATTTTCCCCATTTGGATATTATAGGCCAAAATATGAAATTCTCTTTGAATTCCTGACAATTCATACTATATATATATATATATATATATATATATATATATATATATATATATATATATATAATGAATTGTCAGGGGATAGGGGATATATATCCCCTATACAAGGTTTTCACAAAAGTGAGAATAATCCTGAAAGTCACAGACTGGATATTCTTCAGTTTTCAGGCCATTACAATTTGGTGTTTTGGTGTGAATAAACCTCATTGACTGACATACAATAAAAATGCACAAGGACTGCATTTTAGAGGATTAGAGAAAGTAAATTGTGATGCCTAAACTGGCATCCATTCGTTTGCTTAAATAAACATCAGCAGCACACTTGCATTATATAGGATTTAGTTGCCTGTACTGCAAACACCAAACATTAAAGGAACCCTTACAAATGTCTATTCCTAATGCTTTAGTGCCTTAGTCATCGTTTAGGTGATCAGGTCCCTGCTGCCAGGGTTAAAAAGCTGAGTTTTACTTACCTTTTCTCTCTTGCAGTGCTGGTCTCTGGCATTCCACTCCACCTCTTTGGCTAAAATCATCTAAATTAATCAACTCAGCCTCATTGTCCAATTAGATTTTTCTCCATTATTTTGGCTGAAGGGCCTCTAGTGGTTGTGTTTATAGGAAGGTTAAACCTGCAGGATGGGAAAGTCAAATGGGGAGGTATGGCACCCAGAACACTTGATTGTGATGAAGTGGTCTGGGCGCTTATAGAGTTCCTATAACGTTTGCTTAAGAATTCTGGATATATGGGCTTCATTGTTTATTACGAAATTTACACCATTAAATAAAACATTGAAAATCATCTAAAACATGGGTGTCCAACCCGTGGCACGCATGTGGCCCGGTTGCAGTCCGCATTGCCAGGCAGAGAGGGAGGCAGGGAACCTATTACATTCTGTGCACTTCCTGCACAGCCCTCGCACACCCGGCAGTAAGGGTATGACATTATCCCGGCATCACTGCAGGACCTCCAGCACCAGCAGCAACCACTGGCCACCAGGGACAGATATGTCTGTGATTGTGTGTGTTAGTTTGTGATTATGTTTGTGGGTC